AAACTATTAAAGTAATTCTATATCTTGCTGTCGTTTATTTTCATTCTATATTAGGAAAACTATTTTTTTTGTCTTCTCTTTGATCACATGACCCACATTTCATCACCTTAGTGCAGTAACCGGTTAACTCCTTATATAAATAAATAGGAGTTAACCTGTTGCTGCACCGAGGTGACAATTTCTCAGATTTTACAATTCAAATACAAATGGAAGAGATTTCATTTTTCTAATACAAATAAGTTTCCAAAATTTGAGTAACGAAATGATATAACATATAATTATCACATTTAGTCATATCTATTAAACTTTAAATTGATTCTTTTCTGCTTTTTTTTTTAAATCTTTCTTTTGTATTTGTACCACTTCAAAGCTGCCAAGTAAATATTAATGTCCCTAAAGCAGTAAAAATCCTTTTTTCCCTAAAAAAAAAGAACAACACTTTTAATTATTCATTCAAATGCAATTTTCTTGTAGATAACTGTATTTAGAGACCATTCATGTGTATTCACATATCACGATGAACAATAAATAAAAGATACTACAAGGAAAAACAAAAGTCTAAGGGCTCAGACAAAAATCTATACCCATCTTAATTTTCCCCTTCCTCCTCCATACAACCCTGTCCCCTCCCCAAAATTATTTTAAGGTTATTGCCATTTTTCACAATAACCCAAGTTTGTGGAGTCTTTAAATTTCTTTGAGAGAGACAATAAATGGGAATGTATCTTCTTTGCTTTAAACTTAAATTTCCTTCTTTTACATTTTCACAATATATCTTCCAAAATATTACTTATTAAAACACTATATTATTGTTAAGTACTTGACGTAATTACTTATGTCATATTCCTAGAAACCTCCCATCTCTATTATTATCAAGCGCAGCTGTACTATAAAAAGCATTCAAACTGAAAGTAGTAACTGTATATACACGTATATAGCAACAACTTAAAAAAAACAAACAAACAAAATAACAACAATAACATAAATCTCTCATACATTCATTCAAAATGCAGGTACACAATTATGTATATATATATTAACAAAAAAAATCTTCTCTATTTAATTGAGTACTGCACTATACACAAACAAAATTATGGGGGTGTGATGTACAAATATACAATAAATACAATGCATATTCTTGACCTACAATGCTTTAAAAATGGGATTGTATCCATTAATATCCCAAGTCATCAATCTTAACTTCATACTAAAACGTTTCACTTCAACCTGAAATCAGAACTTCAGTCTAAAATCTAAACTTATCAGTCTGAAATCTTAACTTCAGTCTAAAATCTAAACTTCAGTCTAAAATCTAAACTTAAGCCTAAAATCTTAACTTCAGTCTGAAATCTTAACATTAGCCTTAAATTTAAGCATCAACCTGAAATTTCAATGTCAGACTTAAAATGTTATTGGATATATTCACCATTTTATAAACTGACTGAATTTATTTTTACAACCTAGAATAGTTGTTTTATGACCTCCAGTGACATACTTCACAAGGATTTAGCGTCGCAATTAACTGGTCAAAATAATTATGACAACACTTCTTTAAAATGTGTGAGAACAAATATTTAATGAAAGCAATAACAAGTTTTCAATAACCATCAAAACAATTTAATCAAATGAGCTGCAAAAACAAATTTGATAGCACAATTAAGTTTCAATTATGGGAAAAAATCGTTCAATATATTCATAAATATAAAACTATCTATACACCACATTGAAACAATTTCTTTAGCAAGATCATATATATATCCATCTTTTTACACGCAAGTCCTGTTTCTAAACTCTTCAGTGCTTCAGTGGAAGCCATAAAGATATTTCATTTGTTGTTTTTAATTTGTTATCATTTTATTTTTGATTACTTTACATATTTATATATACATATATATTTTTATAGAGTATTACGAGTACATAATTTACATAATTAATTATTAATCTTGGGTCTTTTACATGTGTCTTATTTATTTTTTAAATTATTTGAATATCGATCTACATATGTTTAAGTTTACTTATTATTATAACTCAAGTAGCCGATGTATAACAATATTGAGTTTTAGAAAAATCAGGCAATGCCCTACTTACACCTCCTATAAGATCTATCAGGAATTACTCAAAGCGTTCACACAGTCATGAAGTAAAAATTCAAACAAAATTGTTGAACACAAAGTCTTCTATAACTCTACCATATCTTTAAATAATAGTTTGAAACAATCTGCATTAATTTATCCATGATTTTAGATTGATAAAATATAAAAATTTTAAAAATACACAATCTTTAGGTAAAAAAACCTAGCCATTTGACAAGTTAGACCTAAACAGCAATTAAATGGGTAGGTAGGTATACAACTGCTCAATTTATAAGAGCTTATTATTTTCAGAAAATCACAAGAAATAAAGATAACAAAAGAAAAGATAGGCTAAATCTTTTAACATGAACTGATGGATAAACTGCTTCCATCATTTTCTTTATAAAGAACCAAGTCTTCGTTAGTGTCTAGGATATATATATCTTTATACACATAAATATAAAATATGCATTAAAAATTCACTTTTTTATATAAGAGGTAGAAGCTTTTTAACTTTATAAATTTCTTTTCTTTTTTTTCAAACAAATAATTATACCATGAGAACATAATAACAGAATTTTGTCTTGAGCATGACATTCTTAATATCTTTCAGAGCTTACAGAACAAAAGACATATTCCAAACTGTTTACTGCTGTCACATTCAAAAAGTTTAAACACTCAATACCTTATGTCCACTTTCCTGCAGAACAAAAGAAAAGTCTTCTTATCAACTCTTTAACAAATGAAGAAAGTTTGTATATTTATCAATGTGGAAATCCAATGGTTATTAATTTTTATATAACTGGCAATGAAGAACGAAATGAAACAGACGAAATGGTCAAAATATCAATGCAATCAGATACAAAGTTTTGCTGTTTCTTGTATATATACAATATATGCGTTATTTATCACACAATAGCTTGTTTCATCTCTAACCAGGCTAAATATCTTTATTGTACCTGTGCTTTTTCAACATAATAAATGAGCCGCGTCATGACAAAACTAACATAGTGTGTTTGCGACCAGCATGGATCCAGACCAGCCTGCCCATCTGCGCAGTCTGATCAGGATCCATGCTGTTTCTCTACTTGTAATAGGGTTGGTAAGCGAACAGCATGGATCCTGATCAGACTGTGCGGATGCGCAGGCTGGTCTGGATCCATGCTGGTCACAAACCCATTATGTTGGTTTTGTCATGACGCGGCTCAAATGCTTTATAGAGGATGTGCTACAGTCTGGTATAATCTACAAACATTCTCTCAGAATGAAACAATAAGACATTACCCTGCTGAAGTTCTGCTATGGATTTGCCCTGCTTTCAGTTTCAAACTGTCTATAGCTTTCAATTTCAAAATGGAAAAGCATAGGTAACCTATTTTTTTTCCATTTTGATATTGAAAGCTTAAGCTAAGAGACAGCATGGTGCCTGTTCAGGCTAGCCTGGTTCTGTACTGGTGGCAAAGGCTTATCATTTTCAGCTGCAGCAGGGTCAAAATGCCATGACAAAAAAAGACAGTTTAACAAATGAAATGCCCTTAATAAACTATTATTTTCACAGAGCAGGTTAAAAATTAAGAATATTCATCCAATAATGTTATACATAACAGAATTGCAGTATTTAACAAATCTATGGGACAGCATACAGTAATTTTCTACAGTAAATATAAAGACTGCAAAATACATGTGATCGAAAAAAAATATGGTGTGCTACAATATTAAAGAGTCATTGATGAAACACTTAGTAAACCTTTACTTATATCTACACAGTGTTCGGAATATTGCAAATTGAAATGATCTCAGATATGTTTCATTAGACTGATTTAAAGACTATCCTCACACAAAAAATGAGCCGCGTCATGACAAAACCAACGTAATGTGTTTGCAACCAGCATGGATCTAGACCAGCATGCGCATCCGCGCAGTCTGATTAGGATCCATGCTGTTCGCTATCAGTTTCTCTTCTTTAATAGGGTTTGAAATTTAACAGCATGGATCCTCTACACTAAGCTACTCGGACAAATAAACGATAGTCCTGACTTCATACACCTATTGATTAGCAAGCAACTCATCGGAAAAATGAGAAATACTTCTTTTTTTTATAAAATATTCTCAAGTCATTGTTAAAACAGTCTAAATAAATCTTAACTTTACATAAGCCACTTTATGCAAAACGTTTTTGTTCTTTATTGTTAAAATACACACAGACTAAGTGAGTGATTACAGCCGTGGTGCGGCAAATGTTGATCATCTTATTAAAATGTCATTTATATATATATCATTGAAGAATATATATCAAAATATTGAATCACTTCAATTTTCTTTTTTTCTGTTATAAGATCATATGAGCTTTATCGGTAGAGGAAAACCTCAGGTGACCCTCCGTGCATTATTTCAGGCACCAGCAGGCACCTAAGAAGAAACCAAGGTATGCTATCTGAATAGCTTCCTCACATGAAAGAATTTAAAGTCCCTGGCAGGGTTCCAACCCCCAGACTTGAGGGGCAAGCAGTTTGAATTCAACAACCGTAACCACTCTGCCATGGACGTCTTTTTTTTACACAGAATGTAATTATTAAGAGAAATGAAACTGTATGAAAACAATCAAGCTTAGCTAAAAAAACATGATATACACATTTACACTGCAAGTTACACTGACAAGAATCCTTTTTTTTGAAAAGTTACATATGTTCAAAGCTCCAATGTCTAGCAAAGTATATAAATTATATATATAAACTTATCCTTCCATCCTCATTTATTTGATTTTTGACAGCATGAAAACTTGTAAAAACAAATTCTACCAGACAAAACTAATTGTGCATAAGCGCCTACTGTTTTTCTTAATTCTATCGTGAAAAAATAATTTAAAATTGTAATTTTACAAGATCATTGGATCCAAATTCCAATTAGTCGACCTTTTTTTCTTAATCCAATAAAAATCCATAAAATGATATAAAAAAAAGTCATCAGTAATATGCTTAACAAATTGATGAGTAAAATATAAGAAGAATAAGGAAAAAAATATTATCACTTGACAAAGAGATTTAACATCTACCATGTTTCTTCATATAACACTAGGAACACTGCAGTATGAATCCTTTAAATGAATGAAAACATCAGTAAAATTCTTCTTCTCCAACTGGTGGAGCACTCTGTCACTTGGTTAATGTTTTTTATTTTATTTCTAATTCCATTACAGAGAAAAAAGAATATACTTCTCTGAAACTTCACATCATTCTGCAAGTTATTTTTATTTTATTATCCAATGGAAAATTGTTTCTTTCTCCTTAAATGTCAGAAGAAGTTTTGCAGAAACACTTTCCCTTTTTCACTGTCTCTGTGTGTTGTTTTATTTTTTTCTTCAAAAATGTTACAGTGTTTATGATTGGACCAAAATATGATCACATGACCCACAGTTCAGCCAATCAGATCACAGATTACTTACAACAGCCACCTTCTGAGGGCTGATTCTGTTCATTTAATCTCACACCAGCCTGTGGTCTCTGGCCAGGCTGACCACCACTATCACTTTTTGGCAACTTTTTAGCTACAAAAATAAACAAGAAAATGTGAATTTCAGTTTGTTCATAATTGATTAAAGTCACAATAGGCATGTAAAGTTCATATGGTGGCTTTCAGGGAGGATTTCATTAGAGATACTTCTGACACCTATTTCAGACATATTATGCATGCTTTCTGTAGTTCAAAATCTTCCGAGCAAGAAATAATTCTATTTCAAGGGCAAGCATAGCATATTTAGTAATGCATGGTGAAAAGTCTCAGAAATTGATCTACATAATCTATAATTTACACAAGATTTTAAACAACTTCGGGTTATATATTTTACTTTCCCATTCACTTTTATGAATGAATTCCTTTCTGAGGATGAGATCATTATGTCTTCATGAAATATCTTGTAAATCTATACGCTACTACTAAGAGTAAAGATGTAAATGAAAATATAATTTCAGTTATTTCATTTCCGAAATATGATTTATGTGTAATATGCAAAAAAAAATCAAACACTGGCTATATCACAAAGTCTCATTTCCTTCCCAAGCTAGATATTCCTGCATGTATCAACAGCCAGTGTAAGATTCTTATAATCTTAAATCTTGAACCATACCGGTATATGGAAGAGATGTTTAAGATAAATAAACCATTAATTCAATGTGCAATCCACGTCCACTTAAACCATCATCATTTAGCAAAGTTTAAAAAGAAAACAACTGAAAATCTATTCGAAGGCTTGCCACATTTGTGGATGCTTAGGAAATTACAAAAGAAAACCATACCTATTGCCAAAAATATATCATTTACATTCATGGCAGTTTTTGCTGAAGTTTCCATAAATAACAAACTATTTTCCTCTGCATAAGCCTGAGCTTCCTATAAAATAAAAGAATAAACTATTAGTTTCTTATTTTACAATTCCTTAACCATACCTCATGCTCACATTTCATACATAAAACTGGATCAAACAATGGAAACATAAAACAACATTAAACATACAAAATGTACTGAATAAGAAATGATTTTTTCTTTTGTTGTTGTACAAGTTGGTGTTACAAGTAAGTAAGTAAAGTTTATTTATGTAACATAGGCCTCCGGCCCAAAATACAACATAATACAGCAAACATGAAATAGCAATGGTAAAATACAATGAGATGATCATAGATATACATGTACATAGTAAATTGTAATATAAACATTGGTAGACATCATATCAATTTTTCTTTGAAGATATATAGAGATATTAAGAGAATTTCGTAGATCAGTTGTAGAATACACTTTATAATTACCTTTATAATGTTTTATGTATGTAATTTTTTAAGTACTAAATTGGCGTCTATATTTAAGTGCATGCTCGAGAAAACGTGCGATAGTCTAATATAATGTCACATCTGCGTTTCTTTGAACAGATATAATTTTTTCACGTGAATGATTTTCACCAATATATCTGGTAGAATATTTTTACGTATAGTATTAAAGTGAATACAAATCAAGAGAATGTGATATTCATCGTCTAAGCCCGTAAAACAGAGAGGACATATCCGTTGATCAATTGGTATATTATTGAAGAATCCAGTGTTATAACCCAAGGGCAGTAAACCGCCTCTTAATTTTACAATGAGCGACCTGTAATATGAATTTTCAATTTGATCTAGGTACGATTCTCTTATAAAGTCAATTTTAATACTTTTATAAAACAACAGTCTACTAGATGAATCAAGAGCCTCCCCCCATGTTTGAACATCAATATCGCGCAATCTTTGAGATAATTCGCGACAGAACAAGTCAATATTTCCTACTCCCTGGTTAATCCATACATGACCAAATCCATTTATGAAAAGAACACGTCTAATTTGAAATGCCCAGCAATCAATGTTATTTTCTGCATACCGGTATTGGACTTTATAGCATAATAAACTATAAAGGTAATCTATTTTCATTCATGTTTAGAATCCTAAACCAGTATTTGATTGCTTTAAGGACTCTGTTACAATATAGTGAAAAACGGCCCAACTCTCCATATACATACTTATTAGGAGTTGACCAGTTTAATTTCAATGCAAATTTACAAAACTTGTTATGTACGATATCAATATCTTTAGCTTCATAAGAAAACCAAATTTCAGAGCCATATGTCAATATAGGTTGTATTTTTGTGTCAAAAATTTTGAACAATAGAGATACAGGAAGTTGTCGGAATCTGTATAAATTAGTTTTAAGTGAAAAAATAGCTTTATTTGCTTGTTCAGATAATGTTTTTTGACACATATACCATGATAATCTAGACGAAAACACTATTCCTAAATATTTATAGTAAGACGTTACTTGTATATTTTCTACGCCATAGAACCATTTTTCATAAGCACGCAGGTAACCACCATTCCTGAAGACAATGACCTTTGTTTTATCGAGATTAATTTTTAGATTCCAATTATCACAGTACGACTTTAACCGATTAATCATTCTCTGAAGCTCTATTTTTGTTTCGGCAATTAGAACTAAATCGTCGGCGTAAAGTAAAGTGAATATTTGTTTAAGCTCTAATGAGACACCATGGCAACCATCACTAACATAATTATTAAGGTCATTTAAGAATAGAGAAAATAGTAACGGTGATAGCGTACACCCCTGCCTGACACCAAACGGGCATTCAAAACTTCTGTTAGTCCAGATGGGGATTTAACTCTTGCTTTAATATCATGATATAACGATTTGATCATTTTTAAAAACTTTGAACTAACATTATTTGAACATAGTTTATTGTATAGAGCCTGTCTATTAATTCGGTCAAATGCTTTTTTCAAAATCAACGAATAACAGTATAAAAACGGCCTTGAGGTTTTTGTAGATACTTGGTTATAAAAGTGCACAGGCAAAATATATTATCTATAGTGTTATAACCACTCCTAAACCCACCTTGTTTCTTCACCTAATACAGAGTTTGCATCACACCATTTCTCAAGCCTTCTATTTAAAATGGATGTAAATATTTTACTCAGTACAGGTAGTAAGCTGATTCCACGATAATTGCTTGGATCGTTTTGGTTACCCTTTTTAAAGTACAGGTGTGATAAGTGAAATTGACCAATTGTTGGGAAATTCACCATTATCGTATAGCTTATTATATAACAAACATAAAATCTGGATAAGTCTGTCAGAGGCTGCTTTAATAAACTCAGCTGTAATGCCATCAATACCAGCTGATTTGCCTAATTTGAGTTGACCCTATTGCCCAGCTGACCTCAGAGGAGAGATTGCGGAATCAAGGATATCATTAAATATATTACACTGTCGTTTGTGGTATCATCAAACTCACTGTTAACAACGGGATTAAATAAACTATTAAAATAATTATACCACTCTTCAGTTGTTATATTAACACGATTAGGCCCTGTGTTTGTCTTTAAAATAATTCCAAAAATATTTCGGGTTATTACAATTGGCAGCAGCGACAAGTTTTGATCGTTCATTAGCTTCATATCTTAGTTTAAACTTACGACATGTTTCTCGATATTCGGATTTAGCTAATTTGTAGTTGTTTAAAGCGTTATCAGTGCGTGATCTACGAAATTCTCTTAACCTCTGAAGAACATTGGTACGAAGTCGTTTACAAGTAGAATTATACCATTTTTGACATTTTTATTTGTATTAAGATTATTAACACGATTATTTCTATTTATGTTTGATCCAGCATTGTAAAAGCAATCTGTTAGTCTCTGTATAGCTAGATGTATATCATTATTATCTAAAGCAGTATTAAAATAGTCATACATAGAGTCAATACCTATAATTAACTTTTCAATGTATTGTTGTTTATTATTTTCATCCCATTTCAGTTTAGTATATAGGTTTTCAGATACATTACTAAATACTTGTTCAGAAAGACTATCTTCTAATTGTGTTGAGCTCTTAATTTTAATGTAGACGGGCATGTGTATAGATTCAATTCGGTTTTCAACATCAAAATCTAAGACATAATCAGATAATGACATATCAGACAAAATATAATCAATAAGACTAGGAGAATAATCAGTATAACAAGTACAACAACCTTTGCCAGCATCGTTACCGATTCTGCCATTACATATACGAAGCCCAGTAGCAATACAAAGCTGAAGCAATTTTTGGCCGTAATTATTTATAGATTACCATCAGAATTAGCTCTAGGTGGCGGAATAGTATCTTCAATATAAAAAGTATCACTTAACAATGGAAATTCACCATCCATAGCAATATAATCAGGGTTTGTGGATGTATATGCATTAAGATCACCTAAAACAAAAATGGAATGACCCGGATAGTCACTTTTGAAAATAGCAAGCTCGTTTTCAATGATATCAAACAATGCCTCATTCGAATGTATGGACGAATTTTCTGGAGAAATATTAACAAAACCTAATAGCATATTATGAAAAATATTAACTTTAGATTTAACAAGTAGCCATAAAATATTGTGACTAGAGGATCTTAATTGTCTAATTTCTGCATACTGAAATATAATATTTTTTACAAAAACAGATATTCCACCTGAATTTCGTTTTGCATTTTTAGTTAATGGTCTAATAACATCAAAACATGTATACCCAGTTAATGAAAACTCACCATAATTCTTAGCCCAAGTTTCTACAAAACCAATAATGCTAAATGACTTAATATAATCAACAAAATCTATTGAATCACAAATATCGTTTCTTCCAGACAATTTTGATGATAAACCAGAAATATTCCACACACCTAATGTTACATTAACATAGTGAAGCTTTCTTGAGAGAAGAATGAAGCTTCCTTTTTTTCTTTTTCATTCAGATAAGAATAGGTATCCATATTAGCAATATTCTGCCTGTTTTTTAAGTATGAGACCTACTGTTAAGTAGAGAACAGTGCACCATGAATGGTCGGTATGCTCAGGAATTTGAGTATTTGAGTCCCAAGCCCCAAGGAACGTTCTTTCAAAATCATGCAGCTTTCCCCCTTAAATTCAGTTTACATTATGTTTTTTCTCCCCCTTTTAGCAAAAAAGCGTGTTATTTTCTCCCAAATTTATTTTAAGGGCACCTTCCCCAACCTGTGAAAAATGCCATGATGCATGTTGCTGCTTCCTCATTAAGAAGAATCTAAACATCCCCTTCCTGCAAAATAAATCCTGCAAAGGTGTTAGGCAATTAACCCAAACTGTAACATAAGACAATATTACAATCATCCACTTCCATCTACACCTGGTGGAGGGCCCACCATGAACCATTGTGCATTGCTTTCGACTTTCAACAATTTTGCTGATAGCACAAGATAACCTTCTATAAGTTAGCGACAAAGCTTTCTCAAATAAAATTTACTTAGTATACAAAGCAAAGATTCAAACTCAGAGCTGATGGGCATGTAATTTCATGCTACTCATTTTAATCAATCAAATCTTACAAAGGCCGGACATCCACAAGTATAGAGCCAAGTCAGCCTGCACATCTATGCAGTCAGACCAAACTCTATACTGATGACAAGCTTAATTTTTAAAAATTTTCATCCTGAAATCCCTTCAAACTGAAATGGACTATTCCAAATTTAATGCAGGGAAAATCCATTACACAAATTCAGCAGGTTAAGTTATAATTACTAACAAATCAACACTTACATCAAACTCAACCATTCGTTTGTTCGCCAAATCTGCCTTGTTGCCTGCCAGTGCTATCACTATATTTGGACTGGCCTGTCTTTGTAATTCTTTTACCCACGTTTTTGCTCTTCCAAATGTGTCCTGAAGAAAATATAAAGAATGAAATGTGGAAAATATAACACACAAAAGGACATATAAAAATCAAACAGATAAATACTTGTTGGTTGTGTCCTCTACAAACAACAGAAACCAGTTTTTCAACAGTGTTTTACCAGAAATTTTGTTTTTAATAGGCCAGTGATTAATCTATTAGGCATGTAAAAAATTTCTGTGCAAAAAATATAAGTTAGCAGAAACAAATTAGACCAAAATTAGGCCCAGTTTCTTTTAGATTTAAACCAAAGTTGCCTTTTTTTATTTTGATTAAGACTTCGACTGTCACATGATTGAAAGAAATATTTATAAATAGATGTATACATTAAAATGGTACATTCATACTCTAATGTCCTGTTTCACAGCTACACAGCATGAAACCCCATTGTAGAATGTTATGTGCTAATCGTCAAAACAGAACTTAAGAGTTGTGGGTTTAGTTTAAAATCAAACCAATATGAAACCTTTATTGAGTTTAATGGAGTACATGCCTATTTTCTTCTTCTTACGTCATTTTCTTCTTGATAATTTTTTCTTTTGAAGTACATCACACTTAAACTAGGAACACTTTTAAATCTAACTTCAACTAGATTATAAAGATGCCCATTCCAACAAAACTCAACAACTTACTTGATTTGTGATGTCATACACAACTATTGCAGCTTGTGCCCCTCTGTAATACATTGGTGCAAGACTGTGGTATCTTTCTTGACCTGAAGTTAAAGCAAAACTGATCTATCCATCTTTACTGTAAGCATTTACTAAATCACTTGTTTGCTTTTTTTGCCTTAGACTTGGAAGTCTGCCCTTATAAAAATGATCATATCTAATTGTTTAATCAAACAATTTAACTTCGCTATATTTTTCCCTCCTAAGGATTATTACCTAACAAATATCTCTACAATTTAAACTAACACAAGAACTATGGAAATTCAGTACCTTTGCCAAAACTTTAAATTTTGAACAATTACCGTAACACTTCATGTTGGGGATGCTCCTTTTCTTAAAAGTGAACATCAATTTTATCTTATCAAGGAAATGGCAACCCCTTCTTAGATAAAAAATCTACCACACTAACAATTGATTTTCATACTTAAGTGTAATAGAAACCACTTGATAATTAAAGTAAAACATCAATCAAACACTTAAAGAGAATCTGTACTGACTTAGTAAAGGTCATTAATTTAGCTTTTACTCTTATACAATGTTACATATCACTAAAAATATTGACTATTTTAAGCCCATGAATCATAAAAATAGTGACATCATTTTCAACATAAGACTCCTATAATTAATACCCTTCATTATGTGATAAGCAACCAAATGAAAAATTAATCAACTAAAAACTTTTACACCAAAACTTAAGATGTCATGTACTTTTCACATAACATGATTCCACCACCTTTATGTACATGTTTCGTGGCTAGTATGATTTTATTTTGCTTTTATGTGAAGATTTAAATGCATACCCTACTTTTAGAAATAGGGCGTATTTGGCCAAGTGGTTAAGGTTGTTGACTTCTAACCACATGCCCTACTCCCCTGTTGGTTTGAATCCTGCCAGAGATTTTGGATTCTTGTGTGCTTGCGGAACATCTGTGGTTCTTATAATTAAAAATAATGCACAGACGGGCACTGGAGGTCATCCCCCAACAATAATAGAGAAGTTTATGCTGTCAGATGTCAGATGTTTAAAGGCCTACCTGCTGTATCCCAGATTTCAAATTTGACTGTAGTGTCATCTAAACACACTGTTTGCGTTAAAAATGCAGCTGAAAATGAGAGAAATAAAGTAAAATACGCAATAACATGTCCGTATTTAAATCAAGTCAAATGTGTTTATTTTGAATATTATATACATATCTATTACATAGCAACAATGGGCATTTTAATATATTTTTTGTACATCATTCTACATGCCAACAATAGGCTTTTTATTATAAATTTTGTACATGTATGCAAACTCGTAATAATTATATCCTTGAATACATAATCCACAGCTTTAGCTGTACTTAATTACTTCCTCAATGGATGCTTTTATGATTACAATACTGTATACAATGCTTGGTGAGTTGACCTAGTTAGAAACTTTAAGTGAATTCTAGTTAAAAACTCTTCATATATCAGACGCAAGTCATAAAATTCTTGCTTTTAATTGCTTGAAAATGTTATAAAATAGTAGGCCAGACTGGATTTCCATCAATCAAATCTACAGTCATTAAAGTTGAAACAATGTGCAGAGTAGAGCACTTAATTGCTTCAGAACATTAATTTAATTGGCGCTCAGATACATAATTGCATAATATATTATTATCTTAAGTGTTACCTAGAATTCCTTTAATTTAGTTTTTTCAAAAGCTTTCAAAAATACTTTCCAAAGAGTTTTGGAATTAAACAAGAGGGCCATGATGGCCCTGAGGTCGCTCACCTGTATATAGGCCCCCCAACCCCCACCCCCCCCAACGTTGCAGGGCCAATTTAACCCAAGGGCTTTTATTTGCACAAACTTGGTAGACATCCATAAGAAGATGTTTCATGCTAAACATCTAAGCTCTAGCTCATTGGGCTTTTTTAAAAGAAAGATTTTTTTTAAGTTTTTACTATACACATATAGTTAAAACAATGACACCCCTGGGCCGGGCCAGGGCTTTTATTTGAACAAACTTTGTAGACACTTACTAGAAGATTGTTTCATGCTTAATATCTAAACTCTAGCTATTTGGGTTTTTTCAAAGAAGATTTTAAGTTTTTGCTATACACATTTAAAGAAAATTAATGACCCCAGGCGGGGCCAATTTTTGACCCCCAGGTCTTTTATTTGAACAAACTTTGTAGACACTCACTAAAAGATGTTTCATGCTTAATATCTTAACTCTAGCTATTTGGGTTTTTTCAAAAAGATTTTTTAAGTTTTTGCTATAAACATATAAGGAAAATCAATGACCCCCAGGGAGGTGCCAATTTTGACCCAGAGCTTTCATTTGAACAAACTTGGTAGACACCTATTAGAACATGTTTTGATGCTCAATATCTTAGCCATAGCTCTCTGAGTTCTTTAAAAGAAGATTTTTAAGTTTTTACTATAATGCATATAGGGAAAATCAATGACCCCCGGGGCGGGGCCAATTTTGACCCCAGGGCTTTTATTTGAACAAACTTGGTAGACACTTATTAGAACATGTTTTTATGCTAAATATCTTAGCTCTAACTGTTTTGGTTCTTTAAAAAGAGGATTTTGTAAGTTTTTACTATATGCATATAGGGAAAATCAATGACCCCACTGGGGCGGGCCAATTTTGACCCCAGGGCTTTTATTTGAAACAAACTTGGTTAGACACCTATTAGACATGTTTTGATGCTCAATATCTTAGCCATAGCTCTTTCAGTTCTTTAAAAGAAGATTTTTTAAGTTTTTAACTATATGCATATAGGGAAAATCAATGACCCCCCGGGACGGGGCCAATTTTAACCCAGGGCTTTTATTTTGAACAAACTTGGTAGACACCCATTAGAACATGTTTCATGCTTAATATCTTAGCTCTAGCTCTTTGGGTTCTTTTAAAAGAAGATTTTTTAAGTTTTTACTATATGCATATAGGGAAAATCAATGACCCCCGGGACGGGGCCAATTTTACCCCAGGGCTTTTATTTGAAAAAAACTTGGTAGACACCCATTAGAAACATATTTCATGCTAAATATCTTAGCTCTAGCTCTTTGGGTTTTTCAAAAGAAGATTTTTTAAAGTTTTTTACTATATGCATATAGGGAAAATCACAATGACCCCCTGGGGCGGGGCCAATTTTGACCCCAGGGCTTTTATTTGAACAAACTTGGTAGACACTCACTAGAAAGATGTTTCATGCCAAATATCTAAGCTCTAGCTCTTATGAATGTTTAAAAGAAGATATTTAAAGTTTTTTCCTTCGGTTGCCATGGCAACCAGAGTTCTGCATGGAATTAAATTCTTTGAACAATTTTTAAAGGTGACCACCAAAGGAACATTCCTGTGAAGTTTGGATGAAATTGGCTTAGTGGTTTATGAGGAGATGTCATTTAAAGTAAAAGTTTACGGACGGACGACGGACGGACGACGGACGAAAAGCGATCACAAAAGCTCACCCTGTCACTTTGTGACAGGTGAGCTAAAAAAGTAATGCAGTTTTTACACTGGAATCAAACTATGTTTTTTTTTTTTGTGAAAAAATTGAGATTTTCAGAATTTTACGTAAATAATGTATCAGAGCTTTTTTTTTCCTTTACTGAAGATTTTCATATGATACTCTAAAAGCAGACCAAAAACTGTACTAGAAACTGTATGTGAAAGAACACTTCAAATTATTTACGTAATTATACATTTGTACTAACTACTACTGCAAGTTGTTGTGGCTCACAACAAATGGTAATAATTAGAAATTATTAAAAGAACATGCTACTAAAAATATGGTAAAAGGCCTCCAATTATGACCCTGAAGAAGTTATTATCAAATTGTCAATTTTCAAGTGAATAGCTTGAATGGTTATAGAGATAAAACTTGCATGCAAAACCTTGATAAGATTTTTTTAACAAGTATAATTCATTTAAACAAGAGTGCTGTGATGTCCCTTGTATCTCATAAACCAGTGGAAAATTGTGACAACTTTTATCTAGGACTTAAGAGAGTGCCAGATTTAAACTTGCCAGAATTAAGCTATCATGAAAAAGATAAAAAGTCTGATTAAGACTTCCTGTCACCTCTGTCATTTTATAAAGTTTTAAACTCAATACAATGCATATTCTAACTTGATTAAGAAGTATTAAGCATATATAAACAAGGTTTTCTTTGAATTTGACCTGGTGACCCAGCTTTTGATCAAATACAAGTAATCAACAAACTTGTCTAAGTTTTTATTAAGATAAATATTCTTGTTAACAATACATTCTAGAATATTACCAAGTTTTGACTGTGTTTTGACAAAGCAATCTATTTATAAATGACCTTGGGTGACCTATATTTGAATTTGACCTCAAAATTAATATAGCACACTCGAAATAAGGTCTCTCAAATGTTAAAAGGGTCTCTTTTTTTATTTGAACTAACCTGGTAACCTATGCTTTTACTCCAGATGACCCATATTCAAACTTATATATCATTTAACTGAGACAAACATTCTTAAAAGTTTAAAAATATGCCATCTACAGTGTAAATAAGTTAAAAACAACATAGTGTTGATGACTGATTTAATCTATACAGCTCTTCCTGAGAAGGGGATCTAAATGTAAATATCAATGCTAACAGTTTGTTCTGCCAGTCCAGTTTAAATGCCCATTTTTACACAATGACATGCCTTTGGTAATATCTCCACGATTAATGCATCCTATTGGTTTTACTGGATAAATAACCAGTAACTAACAATTTCTCTGAAAGTGACCGTCTACCAAGTCCGCAAATTTCGGAATCAGAGAGTGGAAAGAAATAAATGACTAAATGTCTAGAATAATTGTCACTGACAGACTACACCTCCGAGGCCAAGGATCGAACCATTGATCTCTGGATTACTAATCAAATGCTCTACATTCTAAGCTAAGCAGGCAGTTATTGACCTTGAAAAGTGACCTGAAATCATGGTCCTAATCATATGAAATTTCAAAGACATTCTTAGGTGCATACATACGATGTTAATGAAATATTATGCCAGCAACAGGATAGCACCTGCCTTCGTTGAAACTAAAATTACGGAACAGATCTTATATTGTTGAAGTGATATTAAGTGAAAGAGAAAGAGCTCTTTGGACAAGCCTTATATAAATTAGCTCAATTTAATTATTGAAGTAACATTAAATCTAAACAACTTTTGATAATAAATTTATAAGTTATCAAGCCCACTTACCCCCAATTGTGCTCTCTTGATATTCATGAAATTGTCCTTTTACAAATCTTAGGACGAGACTTGACTTTCCTACGGCAGATTCTCCTAGAAGTACAAGCTTAAATTGACAGATCTTTCCTTGTGCTGCACCATTAGGCCTCTGTGCTCCCCCTCGTTGTGACATCTTACTTTTGAGACTTTGTTCACAAACTCTTATCAATGGTTTGTTAGAAAAGTAGAATTGTCAGCTAAAATGGTAAAAGATTTTTATTGATATTACACCACAACTTAACACTTTACAAAAACTTGCAAACTGAACTTATCCAAAAAACAAAACAAATGCAAATCATGTTAAAACAGACACCTTAGGCCAAGTTAAGGTAGATATTAAGAAAAAAATCATGAGAATATGACTGTATTATCAAAAACAGCATGTGATTCCATTCATCTTAAATCTGTTACACAAAGACAAACACAAAATTCTTCTTCCTATGCATTCAGACAAATTTACACCAGTTATGTCTTCCAAAACTTTTTATGATTTTATTATTTCATTTGATGCAGCATAAAAGTTTTACATAAGACGGTTGAGACCAAAGTAAAGTTAAACCATAACACATTCCATTAACTTTGCTTGAATTTGTAAACATCCTTACCAAAATTAAACTGATTAAAACAATTCAACACCATTTTAATGAATCTATTCCATTTTATATATCAAAATATTATATACAGCTGTTTTTATCGCCTATTTCACTGTGAGACATTAATTTCACTGGCTTGTGTCTGCCATGACGCAAAACCTAGTTTGACGTAATTTGTGTGAACCACTTAGAAAATACAGACATACCTATTACTATTAGACATGATTTCAATACACATTATCCAAGATTAATTACATTTTTTTTTCTTAAATTTTCAGTACATTAATAGAATAATATTGAACATAAATCAGTAAATGACCTTTTATTAACAAAAAAGTATCTTGGAAATAGTTAAACCACATGGTATTGTTTTCATAAATTAATTGTCTGTGCTGTTGAAACCATAAATGTCAATCCCACTATTATGGTTAAAAATTCTAGAAAGATGGCAGCGAAGATCTGTAGTTTTAAAAAAAAAAAAAAACATAAATCATTAGGTAGCAGCTAAGTTCATATTCGATTGTAGCATTAATGTTGGCTTCAGGATTTAAAACATTTTCAATTTTCAGGGGTCCAGTCAATGCAGGGTCTAACCAGTTACATGTCACATCTGGGATCCAATCCCATAATTTATGATGTCCAATAACAATTTTCAGAAGTCCAACCCCTTACTAAACCAAACTGTTTATTATACCTTCAGTACAATAAATATATTTTGTACAGCAAGGGTTTTGAATATTTAATTATGTTAGATTTTTGATACTGGCATTATAATATTTTGTATGCATTTGGATGCAAGAGCATGAGAATTGAGCATGCATTCCAGGGATTTTTTCCAGGATTTTGGGAACATGACCCATACCCATGGTATTGGGAATTTTAGCGGTGTTTTGTTAAAAATTTGGAAAAAATTTAATGGATGCAAACAATTACTGTCTATGATGGCAGCTTCAGACATTTAAGCACTATTACAGTGATGAAGCCTTTTTTTGCAAAGATTTTAGAATTTTTATTCAATATTTTTATTTTGTAACTTTCAACTATTTTCAATTGGGAATATGACCCAATAACGGCTATAAAATTAGCCAAAAAAATCCCTGCATTCTAAGTAAGCTTTTTAGGGGTATATTGATGCAGTATCATGCATCTGGTATATCCCTGGGTTTCTTTGAGGATCATTATTCATATAAATTTTTATCAGGATACGCATCACTTTACTCCATGATATGCATGCTTGATGAAAGATAATGATGATTACTGGCATGATTTTTCATACTGGGCTGATGTATGCCAGCTTGAATATATATCTCAAGTTCAACTCAAACAGTCTGACTGTTTTTAAACTTTAAATTCTTACTTTTAACACCCATATAGATCATGCTTATTAGTAGTGCACAAAGTTTCACAAAGGTTCTTAGAAGCGGCTTGACTTTTAGATAATAGACAAGATACTTCTACACAACATTGATGCACAAGTTGTAGAAATACAACCATATTATATGAACATTAAAATATTTTAAACATTTATTTGAAACTTGAATGTGTAAACAATTGACACAAGTTTCCAAAGGGAAATCTTCTGTATTTGACCCAGGTAGAAATGTTTCAATGATTTGTTAGCCTACTAGGCATTTTGACTGTGATAGTTTAATACACTTTATAAAGTTTACTTTCAATACTCTAAGCATTTTAACTTCAATATTGAAGAAATTTGACAGATGCATTAAAATACATTTGATGTCAAAGTATATACAATTGTTTTCTTTCTTAACAAACACCTGATAAGACTATGCTACATAAACAAGAATGGTACTGACTAGCTCTAGGACAGGGACCAATTAAGAACACCCGATGACACAATGAAATTTTAACATCTCCTTCATGTCACATTACTGACTAGCAATGAAATGATTTTGTATTAAATCTGATCATCCTATAGGTGTTTTCAAATAGCAGATAATACAGCAGCATTTAAACTTACATAACACAGAGTATTTTATATAGTGTCAATATTTTAAATATGATCATGAGACATGACTCACCTAAATTAACTGTCAAAATAAAAACAAATACATACAAAAATATTGCCATGATATAGAAGAATTCTGCATATATTGACTGGGCACATCCAATGATATAACAAGTGATCCCCAGAACTGTGAAATCAAGGGTCACCATTGGCCTATATAGGCACATATTTATGTATGTTTATGTTATACTCAGCTGACAGTTATAGACAGCCATTTTTCACTATTGATTTTTTTAAGAAAAATATATTTATCTCTGAATAACATCAATTCATATCATGTACATAGTTGGAAACAAACCTTATAGCAATACTTCACCGCAGAAAACGGTCTATAGTGTTACGAAAAAGCTAAATAATCGTGTGTTTTGTATTATTTTGACACTTCAATGCGTAGAACCACCCTCTGCTTTTGAACAGCCATAAGTCTATACCGGAAGTTCATACGCGTGAAAATGTAGTGCAAATAAAATAACATTGCGTAAGATTTAAAGGTTACTTATTTGAGCTGTACTTCATCAATTTGATACTGCTTTCACACTCATACCAATGCCCTTCAAATTGACACAAATTAATTTAATATCTAAAATTTACATTTATACGGAAATCGTACGAGTCCTTGCTGTAAATATGAAACCCCCGGATACTGACGTCACTTAAAATTTACATGACAGTGGGAAACAGGGGTATGATACAGGTGCATTCTTTTTACAATCAAACACATTTTATTTTAAACATCTGGGACAGTTGTGTGTCTGAATCACTTGCGGCTCAGAAACAATCAATCGTGTCGCGCGAATTAAATTTATTAAAGCTGTTAAATTGAATAATTATTAATGGGCTTACGAACATTCTATATTATTTTCATTTTCAAAAGTCTTTTTTATAAGAAAATAATCTAAAAAAGTCATAAGCCTTATAACTCGGACATCCTTTGCTTCTTGCATTTTCACTGGGACATAAGATAACTTAGAGCCGACTTTAGATGTTGTGCTGATGCAAGATTTTACAATACTAGATCAAGCAATTTTAATTTTATTGTCCCCCAGTGTAATTCTGTGATGAAACAGACCTTTTATTATAATGGAATTAAAGACTGGAATGATCTGCCAGAATATATAAAATCCATTAATAATTTTGTGCAATACAAAAAATCTGTTAAAAAGTACCTACTAGAAAGCTATAAAAGTCTTTCAGAAGATATATATATGTGTACAACTATAATGTGTTAGGCACTGTGATCAAATATTTCTGTGATAGTAATACTAGGCTTATTTTAAAAAGGGCATACTTTTATAAATATTATTTCCTTTTTCAACCTAAATTTTGACCCAAAGTTAGTTAGTTTATATTTTTATTTTTTTATCTTGTTTGTTTTTTAGGGGGGGGAAAGGGTTAAAATTATGTTAGTTTTTTTTTTTATTTCTATGGACCCCATTGGAAAAAAGCATTTGGCTTAATGGGCTATCCATAGGTGCATAGTACCTTCTTATTTTTTATGACAAAAGTGTGCTCTTTGTATGCTGTTTTATGATCTCATTTTTATATATATGACTTATTTATGTTATCTCTTAACTGTATGATTTTATATTATGTATCTTGTGCTATGTTCCTAAAATGTATAAATAAAATAAAAAAAAATACTATGTCCCAGGTTTTCACGATAAGTTCCCCGTTAGTGATTCAAATAAAAGTGAATAAAATCCACTTTGTAAAAACTGGTTCCACTGCTAAACGTACGTAACCCGACACGTTATATATTAAAACATTATATAAATTCCATCGTTGGATACCCACGGCCGAACCATTAACATTTATCATATTTATTATTATGTTAAAAATAATATGTTACATGTTAACCCAATACTTCATGAGCATTTTGTGAAAAATGGCTGTTTTCATTGAAAATTAAGTCTCCCGTTACAAGTTCAAATTGCTATTTATAAAACTAGAAAAAACTGCTTCAATACTAATCAAACTTGGCACAAATGTTGACTGGAACATTGCCACACCGTGTATATCCAGTAACGCCGGAATGTGAAAATAACGCACGATTTGTGCAATAAGTAACGCAGAATTGTGCAATAAATGGCGGATACCTGACAGAATATCCAACGCGGTAAGAAAACTGGCCAATATACAAGTATATTTTCCGAACCGAAAAAACCAATAGCCGGCTGCAAAGACATAACTCTTCATCCCTCATTAAGATTATTTCCACGAAATTGTTTACTTTTCAAGATCATTCGTGAAAATGATGGTTTGACCACCGTTTTGAGCGACATTTTTTGTCGGCTCTTATAAGTACAACAATGCATATTATTCAGTATAATTTAGATTTTCAGAAGGCAAGTGACATTAACTTCACTTCTTGTGATATAGAAAATTGAAAATAAACGGATAAAATGTGATTCAAGCCGTTTTATGAGGAAACGCCGATGTACGGTTGAATTGTGGCTTCGCGGTAACGCCGGAAAATGTGATTTTTTTTTCTTATATGGTACAGAATTATTACACAGGTTTAAACGCATTTTTTCGGCGAATATAATCAAGTTATTTGCCGACTTATAGTCAATGTAATTTTCTTCTTATCTTATTAAGAAATATATGATAATTAGATCTTGACAAACTTTCCAGATTTTGATTGCCTTTTGTAACTTAGTAGATCTACAATTTGATAATTGTTTCCTGAAATAAAAATATTATTTGTGAACATGCTGCCCACGTCTGATCTTGTTAGAAAATAAGAACAATAAACTTAGTTTGCAAATAAATTGATTGCCTGTGTAACAACATGCTCAAGCTTAAAGCTTAAATTTCCTGTTACCATGGCAACGAGGGGACATCTCAAAATTGCAGAAACTCACTATTTTGCGTTGATTTTTACATCGAAATTGATTTCAAAGTGCTGCAACTTCTCAATGGATTGAGATAGAGTCAAATGCTTTTCAGCGATGGTTACACGTGACCTTAAGATCGATCTGGGATCATTTTTAGCCTCTCACAAGTCCAAAATTTTCTTGGCGATGAGGGGGACTACCGACCCTTTCAACCCCCAAAACAGAAGGGGGCACATCCCCCTTCTGGCAACCCCATGATGTATCTTTTGGCTAGGGGGTCGCGCCGAAAAAGTGGTCACTTTTTTAAACAACATTTCTCAAAGAAACAGGTGTTGGGGGCCTAAATAAGGCATTTTTTCACCATTTGAGACAACAAAAAAAGGGGGGGGGGTGAAAAAGGCGTTAAAAGGCGTGTATATCGGGTAATGGGTTAACAGAAAATGATGAAAATACCCAAAATCGCGTTTTTCCATGTTATTGTAAATAAATCGATCCACCGCCGTAGACCTGTACGTCGTGTTCACCATAGCCGTCCTTTGTGAACCAAGACAAACTAATTGATAGTCCAAATTTTTTTTTCTTCCATATAAATTTAAATTTTCTTTTATTAATTTCAATTCGATAAAGTGCAGAACCCTCTCATTTTAGTTTGTAACACAGACATGTATTTAAAAGAATATTTAAGGGTGGGGCTGGGAATCAAGTATTTTTACGGGGAAATTGAAATCGTGTCTTTGAACAAAAATAATCAAAATATTAGCGCGGTTTTACTTGAAAAAAAAGAAGAAATCCCGCCCCCATGAAATATTGGCTCACTCTTCGCTTTAATTTAACCCACGCTCTCATGTATATTGTTTGATCTCAGGTGGCCTTTTGGAAAAGCGATGGGAGTCACTACACTAGCGGATTTTGCAATTTGAAGTCGCAGCTAGTTGATAAATCATTCTTTTATAAAGTTGTACGTCAATTTAAAGTTAAATAAAAATTACGTATCCTAATTAATGTATGTTAAAATATTATATAGAATTATGTGATAAATGAGATCCTATTGAATGACTGTAGTTCTGTGATTAAATTTTACAGAGGTTGTTTAATGCAAATATGAATGACAATTTTTACATAACTGTACCAAGGTAGCAGGTTTATTTACCCGCTGTGCTACCGTAAAAAATAGTTCCCGCAAGCGTCCATTTATATTTACCAGCGTCTAGATGATTGAGAGTTTTCAAAAATCAACGACCCAGTCTATTAGCGGAAGCGGAAACATAACCTTTTAACCCGTCGTTTCTAGGGAAGTGTCAACATTATTCCCGTTTGACTGTGTTGTAAATGGACAGGAAATATTTAAATGTTTATCGCACATCTAACAACCTTTGATGGTTAATTATTTCTCAAACTGGTTCCGAAATAATTGAATATTGGAAAGCGTACAGTAGATTAGCCATTTATTAAGGAAATAACATTAGAAATACAAAAATAACATGGCATCAACGGCATCTCAAATAAAACTGCCCGACATTTCTACACAGTCAATATATGCGGGGAAATATAAAGACTGGACACCTGAGTTGAGAGCGGTACGTACGTTTGAGGCTTATGATAATCACATTTACATAAAAAAATTTAGTACCCACTGAACAGCTGCTGAAAACAGCACATGAAAATATTAAAGGCATGTGGTATACAGTGTAGCCAAAGAAATTTCAGGTTTTGTTCGCACAAATAAAAGTGACATACAAAGTTATGGAAGCAAAATCTAGTTACAGTGCTGCAAATGACACAATTGACATGAATCACATGATAATATCCTTGGGTGCACTAAATTCTTCCCTATCCTTGAGTAAACACAATTTCTGTTAATGTCGCAGTCTTGTCAGGTTCTCTTTAAGGAAGAAATCAATTTTTGATTTATTTATCTTAATAAATATTATTTAAAATACTCCCAAAGTACACCCCATTATGGTCGGTTATCAGAACATGTGCTAACTTAGTGCCACCTATAAACTTGTAACTCAGGACGTCAGGTTGACCTAAATTGATGATTATTTGATGATTTACCTACATGTAACTTTTTTTGATATGTGTAGCTTAAAGTAATGCTGTAGTAAAATACAGTAAACATACTTTAAAGTAGTCAGTAAAATTAAGTAGATTCTATCGCCGTGCCAAGGAGCACACACACATAGAACATTAGTCTTTGGAAAAAATACAGTATCAAACTAGCACAGTGAAAATGCTTAGCATAACAATTGATAGCCACCTGTGGATAATAATATTCAAATAGTAGCTAATAGTACTATATTACTAATTTACTGTTATTACTGTATGAAAAATATTGTGTAGATTGAAGACAATGAGTCCCTATATAAGCAAAATCAATGATTCCATTTTATTCAGGTTTTATGAAAGGGGCATTTAAAACTGAAAAGGTTGCTGGACAATATTCAGACAATTTTATTTCTGCAACATACTGTACAAACATCAACCTTTTGAGCATGTTAGTGGGGGTATAAAGTAATCCATTTTCAATCGTAGTTTCAATATTTATATTTGCAGGCAGGTAAGCTGACAGCTTCCGGCGATAAAGTAGTGACATGTCTTAAACCACCACATGATGGCAGGGTGAGTGCAATAGAAGAGATTAGATTTTTTATTCTCATTTCTCTCCATTTTATTAAATTAACCCTTTTACTGCTGAAACCAAGAATGATAAGCTTTTGCCGACAGTATAGAGTCATATACATGTATGCAATCTGACCAGGCTGTTGGCTGACTAACTGAAGCTTTCCATCTTGATATCTCCAAAATGATAATGGACGGTTTCAAAATGGAAGCTGGAAAAGTCCATGTACGAAATTAAAATTAGTTAGGGTATAGCAATAAGTTATTGCCTGTATATGCCAAATAAAGAAATACTTGTTAATATTTCATCATAGGTATATAATAACAAGTTTGAGAGGTTAGTAATTCAGAAATTGAAATTTCTATTCAACTTGAAATATCTGGCAACTATAACATTTGTTTGTAATAATTTTGATATGAATGCAATTAAAATATTTTTTATACATACATTGTTTATAGCTGTTATGTAAGCCCAAAATCTATAAATAAAAGACTTAATTTTCTTGCTATATTCCAGCCTCCAAGTCCCGAGGTAATTCGTAGATTTCGAGCAACAGTTCGGCCTGATGCTGGAGAAATGCGCGTTTTCTATGGAAAAGCCAGAGACCCGATTCTTAACTTAGCAAAAGAGATGAACCATGGTATCAACACCCAGCCATCGTTCTTTGCCAGTGAGCTTGTAAATCCAAGACCAAAGTCACTCTTCCAACAAAGGACACTTGACAGAAAGGAGAATCATTATGCAAGCCATCAAGTAGCACCACTGGGTAGATCTCATAACCAGGAAAATAACTTACCGAAGGGATTGAAAAAATATGAGTTCACATTTGGAATTCCTACAGAATTAGGTATGAATCAAGGCCTGAATTCAACAGGGATTGTTGAACAGGGTTTTTTTTTTGTTACTTGAAAATTAATGTGAGTGAAATGAATTTCTTATTAGATATGAATCAAGGCTTAAATTGAACAAGTTTTTTTTGTGGAACTTCTAAATTAATGTGAGCATATTAAAGTGATTTCTCGGAATTCTTTCAGAATTAGGTATGAATCTAGATCTGAATTGAACAGGTTTTGTTTGGCGCTTGAATATTGATGTGAGCATAAGGAATTTCCGCTTGCAAGAATGAATCATAGCTTGCTTTTACTATTAGTATTTTATACTTGTATAAAAAGCCTTTATTTATGGTAATTATATCTTCAATGTATACATTCATAAATGTTTCGTAAATGCGGAATTGTTGATATCTCTTACATTAGTCCAACTAATTGTACTACGCTATGTACTGTAGAAGCGAGATTCTTACTCAGAATCTATCTTTGGCATGTCAATATATTTTGATTACTCTTACAGATACTGGTGCCGGAGGTTTGATCAACCCTAATAAAACATATGCTGATGTTGAGAAGGAGAATGAAGTAGGTCATGAACTCTACGTAAGGTCACATAATGACTTCAACGTCGGTGAGCAGCTGCAAAGGAGTTATACGTCGCCTCACTTTAGCTATAAGTCAAAGTTTGGTATACCTACACCTCATGATAATACAGGTACATAATCAGTTTCTATTTATTTTATTTTATCGTCATTATGAATAAATGTGAAAAAATGGATATAAATCACACATTTTGTGAAATAATAGTTTTAACCAAGTTAAATACCATTTAATTTTATGTGTAGTGGACACAGTGTTCATACTTCTATTTGATATTGCAATATGAATATGAAAACAGTAGTTTTTTTTATTTCTGATATATATTTTGCCTGTTAAGTTATATTTGAAATTTTATTTCATAGATTTCATGATACACATGTATTGCACATTTGTAATGTTGCTTTTCATTGGATAATCATGACATTTATATGATTTTATATACACAGCTGCTGTCAATTTATGACTATTTTCTCTAAAAAAGGAAGTTTGCTGTATTATAAATTTGTTATAAACATTCCTGACAGGTTATAGTTGTTTGCAATATAACCATATATTTCCAAAAAAACTGTTTATATTATGACAATATTAACTTGTCAAAAATCTTAATAACTAAATAATATATACTTTTAAAATTTTATCACCAGGAGCCGAACTAAAATTTTTATTTTCAGGAGCCAGTACCAGGAGCAAATTTGAAATTTTATTACTAAGAGCCATTTAGAATTTATTACCAGGAGCCAATTAAAAATTTTATTACCAAGAGCCAATTTAAAATTTTATTACCAAGAGCCAATTAAAAATTTTATTACCAAGAGCCCATTTAAAAATTTATTACAAAATTATTATTAATCAAATTATTATTACAAAGAGCTGATTAAAAATTTTATTACCAAGAGCCAATTGAAAATTTCATTTCAGGAGCCCATTTAAAGAAAACAATGAAGTGGCTACATGAGGCGGAACAGGAGAGGGCAACAAAAATTGTCTCTAAGCGTGTAGATGAGTTTCGGGAACGACATCAAGAACAACTCGGACAAGTGCATGACCCGTACGTTATTACATTAGAGTATTTGTTTAATTAACATAATTTTTTGTCTATAAATGCAGTGTGAAATAGCATTTTGTCTTAATTTATTGATTAAGATTTCCAGTTGCCTTCTGCATCACCATATTGTTAGCTAAAATAATAATGATGGCATCCTTGCACATGATAATTTACACTGCCTTATAGCAGATTGACTTGTAGATTTATGGTGATTGAAATATTTTCTACTTTCTGATTAGTCACCATATTATTAAAGGAGCTCCATGGAGGTTTAAAAGCCTGAAAACATAAAATTTGAATTTCTTACATAGATCAATTGGGCCAATTTAAAACAGATACATAATTATGCAAAAGATAATTAACAAATGTATTCAGAAATAAATTGACAATCAAATTTTTGTGCTATTTTTAGCCAGAATTGTGTAGAATCAATTATTTTTCATGCATATTTTGCATGTGGAATCAGTTACGTTTTTCATGTATACCTTTGTGAGTAGAATCAGTTATTTTTTGTTTATGTTTTATGTATGGAATCAGTTATGTGAAAGTAGAAGCATTTTGAATTTAATAACATGCATTTTTCTAGTATATTTTGTATAATATTAGAGTCTGTTATTTTTCATGTATATTTCGTATATAGAATCAGTAATTTTTCATGTATATTTTGTATATAGAATCAGTAATTTTTCATGTATATTTTGTATGTAGAATCAAAGACACATTAAGAGTACCACCAGATCATACTTTTGGTATCCTCATGAAGCCGGACGAGTACGGAGCGGGTGATCTCCTTCATATGAGAGGACCGGGCCAGTATCTGCGGGGTCGTGACCGTCAGAGGGGAGTAATTGCGGCAATCAGACAACACCTCAAGAAAGCTAACTATCATAATTTCCATGATCTATCCTCTGCATTTAGGCACTATGATAAGGTAATGCTTTGTTGTGTAAGCTAAAAATAGATTTTTAAAGGAACTTCACTGAGGTCTCAAAGTTGAAAAATATAAAATTTTGAATTTCTTGCAATAGATCAACTGGGAATCTTAAAACAAAGACATGTAAAAGATAATAAAGTAAAATACTCAGAATTAGATTGAAAGTTGTATATTAATTAAATGCTATCCTTAGCCTGATTTGAGTGAAAAGCATTGTAACACTTCTCATTTTTTAGTTATTTTTTCTGACTTAAAATCACTATTCTGGGAAAAGGAATAACAAATTATCTGAAATTTGGTCAAATGGTCATAAATCTCGGAAGTTAAAAAAAAAATTAGTCCTGTCATGTGCAAAACTTCAGTGGAGTCCCTTTAAACGGACATTTCTTAGGCTCATTGATTATCATAAATAATCACTCATTGATTATCATAAATAATCATATTGGAAAACCTTTTTACTTTTAACATTCTGGAACCAAAAATGATTAGCCTTTACCAGCCACATAAAGCCAGGTCAGAATGCACAAATTAGCCATCTATGCAGTCTCATCAACCTTTATGATCTAGGTAGCTCATTTTTTTTTCAGGTTTAGTGTTCAGATAACAATAATTGATCACTTTAGTATTCAATTCTCTTACCAGCATGAACTGTGTTGAAATTAGGATAGGGAACTCTTGATAAATATTTAAATAAAGGCTAGACCTCGCTATGTTTTTACTCTTATTTTACAGACAGCTCTGTACAATGAATAATGGATCAGTTTCAGCATGTCTTTTGTTTCATTCTTCCTTTCAAGTTTTATTGCTAAGAGAGAGCCTATTTATTTATTTATTCTGTTTTAACAAACTACTTTACAGTATTGATTTATTAAGTAAATCATTATCTTAGTGCAATAACTGGTTATCTTCTATTAAATTTAGACTTAGCCCGTTTCTGCACTGAAATACTTTAGTCCTTCTGCATACACAGGTACCTGTCATATGATAGATTAGTATTAGGTAATTATATTTCAAATACCGGTATTCTTTTTTGCATAATGCAGGTCATTTGTTATGATCAATTAATAACATCTGATCAATTGCCTCTCACTGCTGTTATATATGAATGTTGAAAGATACCTGTGAATTTTCAAAGTGAAGTAGCTTAAATTTCAAGCAGTTTTTGGACTATGGATGATTCAGATATGGTGCCAGTGTTACAAATTATGTAAGAATTAATGTACAGATGGGCACCTGAGGTGTTTGTTTGCCAGTAAAGCTGGAAATATTCTATATGACTTTTACAAATTGTCAGTGTGCCTTAAAACCCCAACAACAACAAAAAAGCCCTTCATTGTTGCGTTTAATTAAATATTTGGTGCAAAGCCCAAAAACAACAAAAAAGCCCTTCAATATTTGGTGCAATTACTTATGAAAATTTATTATTCAAAATGGAGTACTGACCATTTTTAAAAAAAATATCTGTGGTTGCGATCCAGTAGAGGCAAACCTTCAGTTTTGTGTGGTTAGGTTACAGTGTGGTTATTTCGTTATACAAATGGAAAAATCATGCAGTAACCTTAAACCACAATTATATTACCACCGTTATAAACTTACGATAGTAAACTTTAACATTGTTTATACTATTGGCTGATACTTAATGATCGACTTTAAAAAATCTGAGAATTAATACTCATTGTTTAATTCTCAACAATGACCTTTGACCAAATAACAGCATCGTTCAATATTTTTCAGGACAACAAAGGTAAAATAGATATTCATGATTTACAAGAAGCTTGCATACAGTTCAATCTTCCGGTTGAGCCAGAACTTCTGTGTCAACTCATGGATTACTGTGACGCAGATAGAGATGGTAGAATCAACTACCTGGAATTTGCTAATTTCCTTAATTGGAAGGATAAAATGCCCGCTGGCCCAGGTATGTTAAATTAATAAATTATCTTTCTTTTCACTTTAATCTTAGAGTTGGTAAATAATAAAATTTTATTTTTACATTTTTACTTGAGATATAAAAAATGTGAAAAATGCAATCTATATTTTAGCGAAATGTTTTTATCGAAATTTGCGGCAAATTAAGAGATACGACGCATAAACACCGATGCAGTTTGGTAAGTTATTTTCTACTGGTGTAGGTTCTACAATGAACCTTCATTAGGAAAGATATACAAAAATCTTGAGCTTAATTTTACCAAATATAACTATTTGGCACTGTGCCAAAAAATTGGTGACAGTGTCGCAAAAATAGGTTTTATGTTTGCTTTCATTTAACGTAGATGTTCAAACCCCAACTAAGGAAACGGCCACGGAATTGGTGCGAGAAGATGGCATGGTGCCACGTACGCCACAAAGTGCAGGGGAGACGACTCCGCGTAGATTACAGAAACAAATAGATAAAGCTATAGGGGATCATAGAACTAGCGCCAGTATGATTAATGCTGTTATGGGACCTGATGGAATTTCAACTAGAGGTAACACAATTTATAGGCACACTTCCATATCAATAATATAGTATCTAAAATAAAATAATCAAAATAATCAACATGAAATGACATTGTTATAGTAAACCAAATGCAATGTTGTTAATTTTCGTTCAAGGAAATTGATATGGTTTTTGTTACCATTCTTGATTTATATTGATTATTATGGAACATAAGTCTGTATAGGTAAAACAGTGGAAATGTTTCTTGTCTTCCAGATAAAAAATCTAAGCAAACAATGGGTGCAAGCAGAAATATGACTTATATGTGTAATCACTAAAATCTGTTCTGCCGAAAAAATAAAATAAATGCTGTCATTTAAAAAATGCTCTAATAGTTACTGTTGTTTAGTTGCATAGTATTGCCTTTGCTTATATATAGTATTGCCTTTAATTCAGGAAATTCATGATAAACATCTCACAAGTAAAAGCTTCAAATTTAAAGGTTTTACTCGTATAATTCAGTGGCTGTAAAAGTCAATTGTCTGTATTGCCCAGGTTGTCCCCACAACCCGTACGGACAAGAAATTCTTTTCCAGAATATACTTTATAAGTATCATACGGACAAGTAAAAAAAAATTCAGATACATGGGACAAGTAAGTCAAAATCATGTTTAAAATTGCCAGCACTGAATATTTATAAATCACAGTTCATTATGTACATTGTATTAAAAAAGGGAGAGCTGTAATCCTTCAGTTTATTAATATATTCCAGCTGTAATCTTAATAAACCAATAAGTTTAATGATTTCAAATTTCTGTGATTAGATTATCGCCGATATGGTGTACCAACAATCCGTACAGATTTACATGCCCCTAGAATAAAGCGTGTAGATGACAGGAAGAATTATGGAGACGAGTCAGATGCCTATGGCCTCGTTAACCCATCATTGTTCAGTCAGAAAGGTGTTTATGAAAAAGATTTCTTGCTTCCCAGATCCAAAGAAGAAGTAAGTTTCTTTAATTTGATCATAAAAAAATAATGAAAATAATAATAATTGTAAAAAAAAAATATATTATGACAGTCTAAAAGTTATGAAATATCAATTTGACAACCAGTCTGATAATTGTATTTGATTGGTTGATTCTGAGCACATATTTGAATTTGACCAATGGCTTAATAGTGTAGAATGGTTCCCAAATAAATAGTTTCATGATAAATGATAAATGTGTAATGAAGAGTGTGTAACTAAAGAAAAGTACAATTTAATACCTTAAGATGAGATCTTCTGTTTGATATATTAATGAATGACCTTGACATTGAAATGACCTTGACCTTGAGATTAAAATTTTTAAAATTAGAAGAATTAAACCAGAACATCATTTGTATTTACAAATAGATATTGAATGACCCCGAGCAATGTGATTTACAAACACTTATTGTATATACCATGTAATTGTTAAGTTTTATGCTTTGCATATGTTTTAGTTGTGAAGTTATTTGGTAGGAAGGTCATTATATTAGAGAACATTTAAATATTTTTTGTTTCAGTCACATTCAAGGATTGCATTTTTCATGGAATAAATGAGATGACAAAATGAATTAATTATATATGGAAGCTTTTTATACTAGTTTTTTGTGGGGGAAAAGCTAATGAAATGAATGGATTTTTTTATACTATTTAGTGTCTCTCCTGTAATGATTTATAGAATGTAAGTAAGAATACAAATTAAACAAATTTTTCAATGATATTATCTTTTTAATTTTCTTGGAAACATTTCAATCAAAATTATCTCATTCGAATACAAACTTTAGATATTTTTATCTAATGTAAGGACAGTCTTATTTATTTGTAAATAAGAAGAAAACTTTGAGTATATATAGCAGTACTATTTACTAAATTTGTTTAACAATGGAAAATGAGAAATATTCAAACTGATTTAAGAGCTCCCATTGATAAATGATGATGAAAATGTCAGTTGATGTTATAATAAAAATTGGTAGTTTTGGTGTGTTCTTTTTCAAGGGGGTATTTTATGGTTAAGCTGTTTTATATTTAAATTATTTTGAACTTACTGGTACATGTTTATAGAGATATATCTAATAATGGATAGAAGTATTTTGACCCTTACCCTGCTGAATTTCTGAAAAAGAATTGTCCATCCTTTCAATCTGAATACATTTAAAACCATAAGTAATTTTTTGGGAAAATTTTGAAAAATGTACCGACTGAATAGCAAACAGTGCAGACCATGATCAGATGGCACAGATAATATTATGACAAGATAACATAGATGTGCTTGCTGATCTTGGTCTGCACTGGTTGTATGGGTAGAATCTGTTACTGATCGCAGTCTTAAGGTTGAATAAAACTGGTAAGTCTTGAATGTTGTTTATAAGTGACAGTAATTAATGTACCAATTATTGTTGTCACAAATTCTGTTTGCCAAAATGATTTGATGTCTTAAACAGATCCTGTTATATTTTGTTTTAAGGTCAGAATGGAGATAATTCACACCCATGAAAAAAACACAATATCTCAATTCAAAGTACAATTGTTTATAAGCCACAAAAGAAAGATATTACTTAGAAATAAAGTACTAAAATTATTAATAAAAAGCCTTACATTGAATGAAATTTGAAAAAAAACACACATAAATTTGGAAATGAAAGCCTTATAGTCAATGAAATTTGGAGAAAAAAACTTGATATTCAATGAAATTTGGAAATGAAAGCTTTATATTCAATGAAACTTGAAAATAAAAGCTTTACAGTCAATAAACATGGAAAATGAAAGCTTTATCATTCAATGAAATTTGGAAAGAAAAGCATATGTTTAATTGTTTCTTTTGCACCATTTTTCCTCAGTATTGTTTTTTACCCTGTATGTTTTCCCAGACGTTAACCCTGATTGCCCAAAATATTCATCTGTAAAGTTTCATTTGTTTCAGTAATGACTTTAAAATTCATCATTTAAAGGTGTTATATCAATATAAAGATATAAATCAATAGACTACATTAATTTCTGATAGAAACATTGTGTGAATCAAAAACAAACAAAAACAAAGCATCAGTTTTATGCTTTAAAAGTAACTCCTTCAGAAAATGAATCTAATCAAATGCACTGCATTTAATATTTGTTTTTAAAACAAACCATAATGTCACTTTTGATAGCTAGAGAATAATAGTGTGTTGGTGTTTATGGTTGTTAATTTTTGAAATGAACACTTCTTTCCTTTTAATTTTCAAATATTTATATATATTATTTAGTTTAGTTAAAACATAATTTATATAAGCTTGATCATGAAAAAGCTTGATTCTTATTTAAGCCACTCCCATATCTGCTTTCTAGAACTTATCCGTTCTCGTCTCATGTAAAGAAACATGGTTGTGACCAAAGTTGGGCTTGAACCCATACCTGCTAGGTTGAGAGGCTGAGGCCACATTTACCACCAGGCTGCTGACCCGTCGATGATTTATTTCAAGGGATTTGAACTATTCACTATTGTAGACATTAAGATGACATTTTAAATTTTGTGTTTTTCAGATACGACAGATCTTTACGAACACTGGCGTCAAGATGACTGGCGAGACATTTGAAAACTTGTTCAATTTCGCGGCTAAGAAACATCCAAAAGGTTTCGTCAGTGTTGAATCATTCCGCAGTGTGTTAGATGACCTTGAGGCGGCAAAAATTGAGATTGGCGAACATGCGTTAGCAGTATGAGTTGCATATTTGACACTGAAAAAATCATCATAAATAATGTAATAAATGTTAAATAGATTGTAAAGTTTCATGCCTGATTGATTTACTTCATTTATAAACTGTTCCTATATTCAGATATATGGAAATATCTGGGTGTGTGGGTAAATAGCTGGGGGGAGGGGAGGGGGTGGGGGTTGGTTCACTGATTATTGAAATATTTTCAAACCATCAAATCAAAGATATTGTTAAATTGTTGTATACCAAAGTCATTTTCAATATAATGAAAATTGTGCAGAAATCAAAAATTAGTATTAAGTATTATCATATTACAGTTACTTCAGCATTTTAAAACACCATGGCTTCAGATCTTATGCTTATTCTTATGAAAATTTAATGAAGTGTTCAAAATTTTAAAACAGTTGTCAGGTGATCAATGAAAGCAACTAAATTAGCTTGTCTTTGGCATTTACAAACCAAAAGACACAAATTTTTATTGTTTATTAAAGTATGCAAACATAGTGTTAAAATATGCAAACATAGCCTTATATACTCTATTAGTAACTGGGTTTGTTACATGTTTAAGATAATAAATGTAATAAATTATATTTTAACACGTAAAATGTCATAAAGATTCAAGATTTTATTTTCAAAACACCAGGAGGTCACAGACCCTTGTGGCAGACAATTTCATACTTTATTGATTGACAGTATTTAAACATTTCTTAAACCTTATGTAATTTTTTCCTGAATATTTGATTTATTTTGTTTGGTTGTTGTTTAACTCATCTGAAGGCATGTAGATTTAAAAAAAAATCAAATATTTTTCAATGAATCGTTTACACAGTGAAAGTATTATAGCAATAAACAGCATTATATTATAAATGAATTATAACATGTGTTATTTTGGTATGTTATTTGTATACCAAAAAGGGTATTTCTGTATCAATTGAATTGTTGGGGCTTTTTTACTGCCATTAGAACATGTATTATTACAGAAATCAGCATTTTGAAAAGTTTGAAATCATCGTTTACCATTGTTTATCAGCATTTTTACACAGTATTTTAACAAGAAATTTTAAATGTTAAGTCTGTTTAATTGAATAATTTTGTATTGTTTTGAAAAATTCTTAATATTTATGAAAAAAGAAAAAAAAAATCAAAATCATTCTTTTTTGTAAAATATTTTTTGTATGTGTTAGTATATATTTATATGTATGTCAAAAGCAGTTTCTACCTATCCTTTGATTGACCAGAATTTTGCAACGGCAGTGTTTGGTGATAAAACCAAATATTATCTTTTTTTATTATTATTATTTCTTAAAAATAACTTTATTCCCAGCATTACAACCCTTAGTATTAAAAATTTCCAGTTATTTTATAGTATTCATGTAATTAATTAAAATTGATATTAATCAAAAATTAAAAGTATTATAATATTTTTTATGTCAATGTTTACGATATTGTTCTATAATTTATGAATAACAGCATTATTCAGTATATAATATTTTATCCATTAATCCCATAACCTGCTGAATCTTTTAAATGGACTTGTCCAGTTTCTGTTTTTGGAACTGTCCATTATCAATTTAGGTGGTGCCAGGATTAAAATTTAAAGTTAGTTACGGTACCCTACAGTATACATCCTGTTTAGGCTACAGGGATGTGCAGGCTGGCCTGGATCTATAGTGGCTGGCAAAGGCTTCTACCAGCAGGCTTAAGTTGGTCACAGTTTTAATGTTACTTAATATTGTTTTTCCTTTAATCAAAACATATGAAGATCTTTTGTCTCTCATATACCCAGTTTACTGAAGATTTTGTTAAAAATAAATGTTTGTTTACTTTGTTAAGGTATTTTATTGTTGAACTAATGTAATCAAAATTATTTAGTATTCATAACTTACAATACATTATTGTTTTTTACCATGACCGTTATTAGTGCCTTTGAATTTGTGTCATAACAACAGAATACATGATATATACATGTACACAATATTGAACATGCCAGTCATTCTTATAATTAATCAAAAATATATTGTGGAATTGAGAAAACTCTACGCTCCCTTATCAACTTAGTGAATACACTAGTGTATAGTGAAATATTTGACCAATGCACAGGAAGGTAAGCCAACACTTGAAAGCAACTTAAGCTAGTGATGACTTTGGTAGTTCTTGACTTTAAAGTACTTAGTGTACAATTTTAACATGACTTTTGGGAGCAACCAGATAGCATTAAAACATCATTCCAAGTTGAAGGATAAATCTTGTTCTTGTTCTTTGTCTGTCTTTTTAAAGGATCTTTTTTATTTGTATTATTTTTTTCTTCATATTTGTTTTTTTCTTTTTTTTTTTATTATTACATGATTTTTTTTAAGTAATTTTGTTAAAGTATAATTTTTAAGCTTACTAGTATTTAAAGATAGTAATTTTCTATATTTGTAATTATCAATATTGTGTTTTCACTTTATTTTTGTTGTCAGATTATTTTTTATTTATAAATTTTAAAAAATGACATGTGCTGTTACTTACAATTTTTATTTTCCCGCTATATTTTTTCATGACAATATCTTGTGCTGAACTTTCAGGGGCTCGTTCTTTTGTTAACGAGGCTGAATTTCCTTTTGAAAGTGTGACGAATATATCTGTGATACAAAAAAATCCTTTTTTTATTTATGTTGTCAAAATATCCATGCACACAAGAAATTATTTATTTTATCATTTTTTCACATGATAACAATTTTGTCACCTTAGTGCAATAACTGGTTAACTTCTATTAGATTTAGAAGGGTTTAACCTGTTACTGCACTAAGGTGTCATGAATTACGATTTATTTGAATTAAATGTTTGTTGTTTGGGATCTTTACTTCTCCATTATAAAGTGTTGAAAAAACGTTTAATTCGTGTTTTGTGAAACATTATATATTTAATTATTTGAAATTTGTATTATTTATACAGCATTATCAGTTTTACAATGAAGGTACTTGTAAAGGAATTGAAATGGAAATCTGCATTTTAGTAAAGTTGATGTAATATTTCTTTATATTGGATATTTTTTTCTATAAATAGATTTTTGTTGAACTTTGAAACTTCACTCTGGTTAAAAAAAGGGACCATTATGCCACTGAATCAGAGTGGCTAAGGTCGCTGGCTTCAGATCACTTAAACCTGACTGCTGTGGGTTTGAATCCCGTTTTTGGATTTGTTTGTGAATGTTGGTGGTTCAAGTCAGGTGCTCGCTCATGTCTGAATCATAATGCAAAGTGGCCTGAGGGGAACCCGAGGTCTTATCCTTCCGGTAAAGCAGGAAAGTTACCATATGACATTTACAGTGTCAGTCTGAATTAAAATATCCAAAAAAAAAATAAAAATGGTGGCATCAATTCACATAATTTTGCTGAAATTGTCAAATTTCCATTTTAATTTTCATTACAAGCTCATCACGTCAAAGCACATGAAGTAAATGTGAATGACTGATTAATTTAAGGTTCACTGTATTGGTATGTACCAGTTTATATGTATAGCTCTTGTACATTTAACAGTAAACTTTAATTGAAAGAAAAACTGTGTTGTTTTTTATTTAATTTTGTTCATATTTCGATTCCCGGATAGTGCATGTCACTTGTGAATGATCATGAAATGGTTCCTACGGTCATTCACACTGTACCACTGCTCTGTACAGAAATGATCAGTTCTTGGCGAAAGTGGAGGCAACTGATACTGGTAAACTGCTTGACATCCTGCCCAGGAATGATGTGGTGGCTGAACTGTGCTCTGGTAAATTCAATGTGGCTTACTGCCGTCACAGATCCGAAGTGAAATTTTAACTACCAACACCACCATCAGTGAACATTCCACATGAGACCAATATTTATAATTGATCAAATAAACCATTATCATCTATGAATTCTAATTATTCTGTAGACACAAGGTATATACTATCGCTAATGACAAAATTTTTTATCAAGATATAGGGCAAATCATGTACGACTCGGCACCAATAAATATTTTTTTCCATGAACGATGGTATTTTGTTTGCCTGAATTAAGTCAGTCTGAAACATTTCTCATTATTACTACTCAATGCAAGGGATTATACAAGTTTAAAATGTGAAATAGTTGTCAAGGATAATAGCCTATGTAAATATGATAACTGCTGATGTTTATATTGACCTCAAATATATGCGAGCACACATTTAAACCAGGTCCCTAGGTTAAACAGATCAGAGAGAAAAAAATGCTTATCCTGAGCAAAGCTGCATGTATTGAGCAATTTAAATATGACTCAGCACATATGTTCACCATTCAGTGTAAAGTGTTGCTTTGGCCAAGGTCATGTTCACACATAAGATTTCAAAGGTCATGGTCAAAGGTCAGATAAAAATGGCAAAACATGTGTTTGGACCATAATTATAGTTATCATAATTTGGAAGGGTTTAAAACACAAATGTTCAACATCCCGAGAATTACTAGCAAAATACAGGTCAATATGTGCAAAGTCATTAGGACACACAAGATGATAAAATGTCCAGATTTTATGGAGAGCATATCTTCTACATGCATGGAGAAATATAAGTATTACTTGATACAAAAATGGTCACCATTATGAGATACAGTGTTGCATACCTTTTTCAGGTCAGTAAGTCAAATATCAAGGTCACACTTAGAGGTCAGAGAGGGGAAATTTCAAAGCCTATCTGTGCCAAGTGCAAAAATATAGCACAAAGTATAACTTCATGAACTATAAATTTAAATTATGCTTACAATCGTATCCATTAGTCCCTTAAAACATACAGAAAATGTAAAAAAAATAAAATAAAAGACAATTTAATTCAACAGAATATTTATTATCACAAGTCTTAAAGTTTTGTTATAAAATCATAAACATAAAATTATATTTGCCTAAAAGCACCAAGACTGCATAAAAAAGACAAACTTAAAGGGAGATAAGCATGTTAACACTATTAAAACAAAATATTTTATACCTATGAACTATCACACTGTATCACAGATTCTTTTTAAAATAAAAAGATAAAATAAATAGAAATATCACAAGAATTATAAGGTCAATATAAGATGAAGGGAGTACTTGACTATTTTCAGTGCTTAATAGGAAAACAAAGGCCCATGCAGGAATTCTTTAAATTCACAAAAAGGGTAAAATTCAATCAAAATTCATTAGTTTTTATTGCATTATACCCTTTTTGTTAATTTAAAAAATCTTGATCAATGTCCTACAAAAATGTTACTGATGACAAGTGAAAATTCAAATAAATACCTTAAATGGTTCCGAGGGACAAAATGTAAAAAGCCCCATCAACAAGAAATCTTTTAAATTTACAAAGGGGTATGATAAAGTCAAAACCCATGTTAGAGTTATGGGTCTTGGAAAATGACCTATAATTTCAATCCTAGATATGTGTAGAGTTTCAAGTGATAAACTTCAATCCTTCAAGGATTGAGGAGATAGCATGTAAAGACATAACAATAGATTTTCTATGATCACAAATATGCATATCTTTTATTAAAAACCCATGATAGAGTTATGGCTCTTGGATAATAAAGTTATGGCTCTTGGATAATAACCTAACATTATGATCTTAAAGATATGTGTGAAGTTTCAAGAGAATACAATCAGAAGATAATGTAATATCATGAAGCTTCTCTCATAACATTAAGAATTCTTTGAATTGTCAGCTTACAATAAAATACGAGTCCGGGAAACATTTATGCATTATATCAGATGTAAGTTTACATCAAGACAGAATCATCAGCAACCACCAGCTGCTTGTTTAATCGCAACCTTCCATAAAAGAATTCATCATTTTTTTGACAGTATGATTTTAATTAATACACAGAGATGTCAAGGTTTCAACAGTTACTAAAAAATAAATTATAATACTGTATGAATTTGCTCATAAAAAACAATTATAACTAAATAATTATAAATATAAATTCTATGAAAAATAATTAATTAAATAAACTATTGTCTAATACTAAGTTAGTCGTACCCTGATTATAGAAAAACAGAAACAAACCTTATTTACACCAATATAATACATTATAAACATGGAACATGTATAATAACAAAATTTACATAATTAAAGGCCCATTATGCCTAAGAAATGCTATCATTTTTATTTCTCAAAAAATGTTCATTTTTGGTATCCAGTTGACACTGGTTTTCAAAAACTTACTCATTTGCTATATACATGAACTATCTTTTGCATCTTTAGTTCTGTTGGCAATTGGTATAATTATAGTGAATTAGTATTTTGTATGGAAGTCAAAATACTACTTCATACATTTTCATACCTTTACGACACATAACTTCATGTTCAGCGGTACTTTTTGTCAGATGTAAAACATCCTATATGCACTTAATACATTTATTATCTAAACATTTTTAATCATATTTTTGATATTTCTAAAGAATTAAAAGTATATGGATTTATGAGGCATAATGTGCCTTTAACTTAAAGTGACTCTAATAATATATACCACATAATGTATCAAATAAAATGCATAAAGCTTTAACGGAAACATAAATAACAATAGCAAATAGAATATCAGTTTAGAACAGCAACTTAGCATTGTTTCACTCTATATTCAGAGTCCACTTCCCGGTAAAAGTACAACCATGGCCGTAACATTGTCCTTGGCCCCAGCAAGAAGTGCCGCCTGGACTAAATGCTCCGCCATAATCTGGGCCTGTCTACGCTGTATCTGCTCTCGGGACGGGGGACCATCAACCATTGATATTCTAGAAATGCCACCAGGGAACGATATATTTTCTAAATACGAATCGATATCAGCCTCGTTTCCAGAATCATCCGAATCATCGCCATTACGACTGCCAATCTCCGTCTGCATATCTGCGTCGACATACCGACGAGATCTTTTATTACTAGATTCTTTCGAAGGTGACCCTGTTGGTGTTGAATGGCTCTGATTTGTTTTTCCGTCTGCTGATTTTTTCTCGCCTGACTCCTTTGAAGTATCATTTTCTGACCTGTTATTTATTCCACTACCTGGTCTAGATCCATTTCCTACTTTTCCTGTTTTTTCATCAGATGATGAACTCATTTTGAAAAGTTGACTTTCTCCTTGACCTTTGACCTCTGACCCTTGACCTGACTTGTTACTTCCGTCCTCTTGCTGGTTTTCAGCAACAGAGGCCAAGGTCGCACTTCTCTGTCTATTACCAAACACATACTCTGAGCTCTTCTTTGGTGAGGACGATCTGTTACTGGAGAAGGAAACCTTACGAGAATTGGACTCCTGGGATGAAGGACGTTTCATTTCATCAAATAGGGTTCGGATGGTTGAGTTCACCTTGCTTGGGGCTGGAATCTGGTTGTTCGGCAGAAGCTGTAGTGATACAATAAATTAAGGTGAGTAAAAAATAAGCAAAAATGATGAAAAATGAAGAATAATAATGACCAATTTTTAAATTTTCTTATGAACTGATGCATGATAAAGGACCCCTGACTTTAAAATTCATGATCTTTTTGCACAGAAGAGGAAACTTGTGATGTACAAAGAAAGACATAAATATAAACATTTTACATCAAGCCTTTGATTTAGTTTAAACATATTTTATTTCAAACATTTTCACACAAACATTTATTACATACAATCATTAGTACATAATATACAATGCTGAAAAAAGGATTAGATCCGAAAGCATACAATGCTTATAGAGGTCTTTTCCTAACATATAATTCATTACTGTAAATTTGGCGGTAAGTTACATGTTCGAAATAGTATATCATGAGCTTAGCCACTACATGTACACTGTCATGTGATCAGTGTGAGACAAATTTTATCACTTAGACATTTTGAAATCTAAATTATATACAACAATAAATACATTTGAATGGTAACACATTAAATTTTATTTCCTTGTAGCAGAGTATCATAATTTTCTAACCTTAAAACTTCACAACAAGTTCTACAAACTTATATCACATCAATAAGTTGGTTTGCAAACTCAGATTGCATAGTAACTTTACATTAACATTCAACAAGCACTTATCTTGCAAATATACCTTAATCAGCAGTGATGCAGCCTCTTTTTCAGAGAACACTTCCCATACTCCTCGTGATGCTAAAATTAGAAACTGAGCGTACTGGTCTACTGGTGCACTTGTGGTATATGGCTCAACAATCACACATCTCTTGAGAGGTTTGTCACCATGGTTACCAAGACCTCTCGTTGTTAGGAGAACTCCATTCACCCGACACTCCTTAGTGCTGTCACTTAGTGTGCCTCCTGAAACAGAAGTATCATTTTACATAATAGGCTATATATATAAAAACCATCTCTGAACAAGAACTGTGAAACTTGTTCATATAAGAAAACGTGGCATACACATGTTTTAGTTTATAAATATTCATTGAAGCTCAATAGACTCACTCCTGAATTACGAATATTTGGGTTTTTCCAAGCTAATCTGGGGGTACAAACAAACTATTACAGTTACAGCTTCGAAATAAAATGCAACAGGTTGACTAATTTATTGTGACCAATAGTGCACCATGAAGCTATAACGATAAAGTTTGTTTGTACTGGGGGATTAACATGGAAAAACCCACATTTATCGAGTTCTGGATAACATTAATTGTGAAGAAAGCTTGAAATTCATTTGAATTACTCCCTAAACTAACTAGTATTGGTGCTATATCAACACCTAAGTGCAGCATAAGAAGCAAGATATGAAAGAATTCACCAGCCCTGGTCAGATACAAACCAAACTATAGTGACAGGAAAGTGAATCGAAGTGAGCGACATCATAAGCCTGTGACTCACCCACTGAGACCTAACCACTTAAGAATGGTAAGAACAAACAAAAAACATACCATCTTTAATGATTCTATTTTTCTCTTTTGCATTGTTCGGTGTATGATCTTTGGTCAAAGAGTAGGCTCTGTTTCCACGTACTAAAACTGCATGCACGTTACCTGTAAATAATATATAAAACTATCTAAAGACCTCACTCAACATAAAAGTAGACCATTGATTCATTCATTCATGTCATTGATTCAGTGCAAAGCATATCATATATATCATGAGCGGAAAATTATACACAGAAAAATCAGCACATATCATCTATATCAGATGACTAACATGGACAATAATACATAGAGGATATTGAATGAGTATACGTTTAATACTAAATTTATTGAACAAGTTGAATAAAATTATATTATTTGAGCCTCTGGCGAGCATAATATTATTTTATTCAACTCATTCAATAAATTTAGTATTGAATCTATACGAATATAATATTCTATTTATCACATATATATTTATATAATAAAATAAGAAGAGTAAACTGTTATTAACAAGAGTCATTTTTCTTTGACGCGCCTGTTGTGTAACACTAACATAAGCGCGCTTTAACGCTAAGTTTATAGTGCAAATGACGTGACGTCAAAGTGTTATTACACAAGTGTAATATCGTCTAGTGTAATATTGTTTTTATTAAATGGCTTTATTACACTCCTGCGCCGCAGTTTATGTGATAAAACAATATATCGATAATTACTTATAATTACTTGTCTAATTTCCTTTCATACCTAAATGATTTCAGTAAAAACGTAATTATTCTATAATGATATGTCTTGTCTACTTAACATCAGCAAAGTTTTAGACATGGACACCTGCGTCTGTTTTGGGTTAATTCTCATTACTCTAAGACATTTAATCAATCTGTCAAAATTAATGATTTTTTTCAAAATGTGTATCAATTATTGATAAACAAAAAACTATTGACGGTACATCGATATTGTTACTATTGATGATAGCTCTACATAAAAGATGCAAAAGGCACCATCTTACACTGAAGAAAGAACAGAGTGATAAATGTCTTAAGTTTTCATCGAATGCACTCTTAAACTTATGTTTAAATCATATTTCTATTTCAATAATAATGCATTTTTTAGGGGAGGGGGAATAACAGTAGGTCCATTTTTGGTGGAGATTATTACCATATTTTTAGTGGAGATTTTTGCCATTTTCGTTAGAAATAATTGTCACATTTTTTGTGTGGGGATTTTGGCCACATTTTTTGTGTGGAGATTTTGGCCACATTTTTGTGTGTAGATTTTTGCCATATTTTTTCTGGAGATTATTGCTTATTACTTTCACTTTTGATGAGAATATAAAATATAACATAATTTAATATATTAAATAGTACAGAAAGTACTTCATTTTCAATTGTAAATATCTTTCACTCGTATATACATTAAACATTTTGCCAAACATAGCTAAACAATCAGAATTTCAGTCACAAAAATGATCCAAAAACACATAAGCTATAATATAAGTGTTCTAGGACATAAGATAAATGATAAATGTTGTACTCACCTGCATTAGCTATATGGATAGTCCCTACAGTTTTAGGAGGTTCTAGACCACTAGCAAGTCCACTCACTACACTTTCATCTTCATCGTTCACTTCACTACTGTCTTTACCTATTTCGTCTTTCGGCAAATCCTGTCAACAAGATTAAGATTTAAAATATGAAAAATATTTTTCACCACTTGTTTTTTTAAATCTGATATATTGCATGTGGGACGCCACATCTTTAAATGACCACAGTGCCGGGTTTCTTTTTTAAATTTTTTTTTTAAAATTATACAATGGACAACATAGCTTTTAGAAATATTTTAACTTGTAACAAAATGAAGTTACAAAGACTTTTGACAGGACAAGGGGCTGGTACATAAAACTGTTCATAAGTAAGTTTGTATTTCTTGAAATATGTTAGCTCAACTTGTAGCATGCAGCTTTAAAATCACCGTAGCTATAAATATAAACTAGGTATTCTTTTACCTGAATAACACAAGTAGCAGCGGAGCAACCACTCCATCTTATCTTTGAATTCTCATCTTTACCATATGACAATAAAATATCCAGCAGGTAGTACGCCTTTGAAAATGCATTCTCCATTTTACGCTCAAAAGGCGACTTCTTTTTCTTTTTCCTTGGTGTCTCGTCCTCGACTTTCACGCTGTTTTCCGGCGTGTCGTCCATTTTCTTTATCAAATCATTGTACTTATCCTCACAAATATTGATGATATTTTGAATAATTCCAACACTTTCATCATAAAGCATTGCCCGTTCACTCTGTTTTGTATCGGGTCTTTCAAAATTGTAATGTGATATATCCGAGTCACCTAATAAATTTCCCGCAACAACGGATTTTGTGCGAGGATCAAATTTAATCATTTCACTAAGCAGTAGTTTATGTAGCTCACTAGCTGCAACCTCCGCTGCAAATCTCCCATGGTAACCATCATATAACCCAAGAAAACATTTATGTTTATCCTCTCCGAAACAGTCTTGGAATGTTCTAGCGTCTTCCATGTACGACTTCCATCTCTCATTGGCACTTGCTGCCATTCCGACGGCATAAACGCAGTCGGGACTACAGTTTAATGATACGCCACCAACCTGCGCATTGACGTCTTCTCTCACTTGCCTGAATTCCTCGTAATTTCCATCCAGAACGGCTTTTAAATATTCGTACGCCTCGTTAATCTCTTCAATTTGCTGCGGAGTGACAGGTTTATCTTTAGTTGCTGTGGCTTTCATTTTCCTCAGCACAAAATTTCTACGCTTCAACAGAACATCTGAATTCTTTGGCTCTTCAAGTCCATACCTAAACAGGAGAAAGAAAAAAATATCAGACAGAACTTTACATTTTTAATATACATGTATATATAAATGTTCCGTGGAACAAAATGTTAACATTGAGTAAGTTTACTGTAACAAATAATTAATTGATTGATTGATTAATAAATGATTGATTAAAATTGACAAATCTATTAAAGATGTTGAGTGAGGTTAGTAGTTGATAGTGACAGTAATTATCAATCGTAAAACAGCTAAATTAAATATCATAATGATAATAGTGACCATACTTTGTAGTCTGCTTTACAGATAGAGAGGTGGCTGAGTAGACACTAGTTGAAGTATTTTCCTCTCAATCTAGGACTCACAGGCCCAATCAAGGACTCAGAGGTCCAATCAAGGACATACAGGTACAATCAAGGACTCAAAGGGCCAATCAAGGACATACAGGTACAATCATGGACTCGCATGTCCAATCAAGAACACACAATTCCAATCAAAAACTCACAGGTGCAATCAAGGACTCACAGATCCAATCAAGGACTCACAGGTGCAATGGACTTACAGGTGCAATCAAGAACTTACAGGTCCAATCAAGAACTCACAGATGCAATCAAGGACTCACAGGCCCAATCAAGGACTCACAGGTGCAATAGACTTACAGGTGCAATCAAGAACTTACAGGTCCAATCAAGAACTCACAGGTGCAATCAAGGACTCACAGGTCCAATCAAGAACTCACAGACGCAATCAAGGACTCACAGGTCCAATCAAGGACTCACAGATGCAATGAAGGACTCACAGGCCCAAACAAGGCCTCACATGTTCCATGTCATATAAAGAGTAAAATGTATAACTAACCTAATGAAGTATAATGATATAATTCTATATTCTAATTTCAAAGATGGTACAATCACACTATTTTTCAAATTCTTTAGACTAGAAAAGTATTTCAACTGATATTTAGTTTTTTTAACTCCGTTACTGACCTTAGTTTGGTTAAGGCATAATGGAACTGTCTATGGTCCTTCAACTGAGGTAGTGCAATAAACGATTTACATTTTTCACATACAATAGAAATATCAGGACCTGGTCTTAAAGGATAATCTGTTAGCATAGTTTCTGGGGTATCTGCAAATAAAAAATGTTTAAACACATGTAGCCTGGCTATCAAAATGATAATATGGTATGATTCACATACAAAAATATATTTAACTTCTGAATCTTATAAAAATGTTTCTTCATAATTCGATATACAACATGTATATATATATTTTTTCCACTGTTACGAGCCAGGCGTAACGAGAAAGAAAAGCCAGCAACAAACTTGTAACAATAACAAATTTATTACAGAAAAATTATTAAAGAAAAATAAAATAACAAATTATCTTTACAAATACCTGAAGTCCAAATAAAAATTACAAATGTATAGTCTGATCCTGGAATGATCCTTTTTTAATAGCACAGTTAAATCCAAGTTAAATCCAAGAACACTTTAGAATAAATTCCCACAATAAAAATCCACAAGAATAATTAATAATCCAAGCTCCAATAAATCACTTAATTTCCAAGTTGAATAATACTGCCAAATATATTGATTTCTAAAGATCACTGATGACTTAAAAGGTAACTGATGACTTAAAGATAAAAAGTAATGAAAAATGTCAATCTATATATATTAACTAAGAAATTCCAGAAAGGTCTATTATGTTCTCAAGTAATCATAATCTAGCAACTTCAACAATAAAGACAATTCCAGAAGTTTCTATCTAAATATAATGCATGAGTTTTGCACAACAGTTAAGAACGTTCTAGTTACATACATGTAGTTTATGTTCTTAAAATAGAACAATGACAATATTGGAAATACCAACTGGTCAGATATAATCTATATACATGTAATATGTTGCATACATAACACCACAAATTCAATGTCAAATCATGTTTGGAAGTACAATTGATATGTTGAAAAGGACCTAGAAAACTTTTCGTATCTCATATGTTTTTAATTTTTTATAGAATTTATGGAATAAGTTCCACTGTGTTTCTATATTTATTATATACTTGTAAATGAAATATTGAAAAATAATGACAAAATAAAGTGCATATTTTCATTTTCCGTATTTTCACTGTAAAAAATTATTTTTCACTGCAGTGAAACATATTTTCTGTATTTTCCTTTTGACTGGTGTCTTGTCGCACTACTTCTTCTAATTTCTGCCAGTACACAAAATTTAAGCAGAATTCTTTTAAACTTTAATGTCAAAAGAGAAAAATGCATATAATAAACAGAAAATAAACAAAAAGATATTTTCTTTACATACAGGATATATTTTCATCTTTATTGTGGTCTGAAAATTATCTTATTTCACTTGCGGCTTCCGCCACTCATGAAATATTCATTTTCATACCACTTGATGAAAATGAATTCTGTATTTCTAGAAAAAAAACTTGAATATCCTCTATATATCTGGAGGATTGACTGCAAAACTATAATGCAAGTCCTTTATACCATATATGTTAAACAGTTTTTGTCAAACCTCGATACTGACAAATCGTACCTGTTCTGCCAACATTACGACCTTGGAAATCATGAGTAGGGTCGTGAAACTCTCTGTCTGACCTCTCGTAATCACCAGATGCAGACATCTTTCAACTGAAAGTAAGACAGAAAACCAAATCATAATTGCTGTTTGAAAAACATTTCCAAAAACAATTTTTTTCTCTTGCTCAAAAACTCATTACTTTCAGTAGGTGAAATATTCAATAAAAACAGACGTGTATCACTAATACAAACAGGAACTGAAGATAATTTTTGATGTGATGGAAATAGGTAACAGTTTTTTGAATTACTTTACATGCCCAAGAAGAAAACAGGTTAGGTAAAGGGTCTTAGTAAAAGAGTGTATAAGTATACCATTATAAGGTGCTAAATTACCATAACTTTTAAGTTATAGTACAATTCACTGTAAGGGAAGTACGGGTAACCGGTGTACCATACTGTTTCAGAACAATATAGCAAAGTATTCCAAATCACACATCAAGGTACTTAGTAATTGTCTGTATAAATGACATCTTCAAGTTTAATATAAACTCACATTAGTACAGTCAAGTAAAGAATATAGATGTTTTTGTTTTCAAACATATTTTGAAGGGTGACTGTCTCAGTTTATATGTGTTTACCTGAAGATTACTGTTTCTAGAATACAGAAACTCACAAGTAATTAAGTTGAAATGGTTCATTTTTTGGGGGGAAGGGGTACATATTGTACTAAATATTTCCATCTTACAGTCCAAATTAAAATAATCAGTTCATTTTTCTCAATGTTGCAAAAGCTATGCATTAAACACTGTATATAATTTTCAATTCTCTCTGTGACTCAAAGTTGAAACAGAAGGGGAGAATCTTCTCAGGCTTTAAACTTAACATTTATACATTCCTCTAGACATTAAAATTTGAGTTTAGGTAAGAGTTTGTGTCAGGGTTTGTGATTAAACTGTGGAATAATAACATTTCAGAAATTCATTCAATTTGATACAGACTTGATAGTCATCCTCAGGTGTAATCTTAATTTTGTTGTCAATATTTCTTTTTAAAGTGAATAATCTGGGTATTGCAAAATACATGTGTTCAATTTAAACCTAATTAGAAACGATTCGCCACATAACAATTCACCACAGTTAAAAAATAATTTGTCACAGCAATATTTATCTAACTAGTTAAATTCACTGAAGTTAAAAGGAAATAAACTTTAATTAAAATAAATTTGACAAAGACAATGACAATGTGTTTATTCATAATATAAGGCCTCCTGCTTAAGAACAATCAATGTTTCAATTTATCAATTTTAACATACATGTAATAACAGGAGCATATTTACAAGGAAGTACAATCAAGTGGTATGTTAAAATAAAAGAAATCTTGAAATTAAACATATGTACATGTAATTGCATATATAATCTGGGTATTGCAAAATACATGTGTTCAATGGATTACAATAATTGATTTAAGAAAATAATAAGATAATTTATTTTAAAAAAAACTTAAATATTTCTAAAACAGTTATCACACCTTTAATTTTAACACATCTAACATATACTAAGACTGTCCTTGAAATAGTTCTTTTATTCTCTGTATAAATTGTGATACCTGAGAGAAATAAAGTTATCTGTCTGTCAATTTATCTGGAATTGACCAGCAATAAATATCCATTAAAGTTTCGTTGACAAACACTCAGTCAATGTGAAGTAATTTACAATGTGTTATGAAATTTTGGTAATAAAATGTATTTGATTGTAAGTTTTAAATCAATTAAAAAGCCGTTTTCATTAAAATATTCCACATGATATTCAAATCATATATTTAATGAGTGAAATTAAACAAGAAAAAAATATAGATCTAAAACTTTTAGATGATTTAAATGGGTGTCAATTTGGTACTTTAAAATCATTATGTAGTGAAACTCTATTGTGGCAAATCGTCATATTACCATTTCATTAGTGGACATATTAAATTAATTCAATGTTGCACCAAAAAAGTCTTATCCAAATATATCTCTATCCGAAATAACCACAACAAAAATATTTTCTTAGCAAGGAAACTCTATAACTGACGGGCAAACATATTTATCTTTTAGTATAAATACGTGCACTGTATTGAAATAATAATAAAAACAACAAATTAGTCTGTAAATAACATGGAAATTATGCAAATTCTGTCAATATACTTCAAAGTTAATTGGTTTCTCGGTGCATCCAATGTAAACATTGACTGGTTTTCGATTTTGGGTACGAAAATTATGGACATTTAGGACCACGGACTTTTCGGACCAGACACTTCGGACTAGACGATTTTTTCTTTTTGGACAAGATTTTCGGTCCATGATGGGGACACTTTGGACCAGAACTTTTTATTACATGGACCATTTAGTCCTTTTTTGATACTAACGTTAGTTTTTATTTCAGGGTGTTATTAAAATATTTTCTTATGATAAATTGCAACATATTTCACTTCTTCATATCAGGGTCTTTCTATTTAAAAGACCCTGTTCATATATTATGATATTCCAAATTCATGAAGCAGATTTTCAAATTTTCTGACCAGCATACTATATAACTGTTGTTTTGATTATCTTTAGAGAATATTTATAAATTATAATTCATTTATAAATTTCTATTTTCTCCTTGCTTCAACTCGTAATTTAAACAACCAAAGTTATTACATCTTGCTTATTTTTTTCATTATTGAGATTGACTTCCAGAGAATAAATCTACTTTTGGCTCTACTCTTTCTAGCTTTAATCTTTATGCGCTTTCATATACTTTTTTGATAAGTTTTTACTAATTTTTCTATTGTTTAAAATCCTAAGCAGAAACATTTTCAATACGATAACAATAAAGGAAATAACAAAATTATTATTTTTTTGTTTGTTCTTTATGTTAGTAGGTAGGTAGACAGCAACGCTGCTTTCATTCATTCGGCAGCTCACACGAACAACGGTTTTAGACATATCTTCTACTGATGTCAAATTAAGCATGGTGATAGAATCAAGGGAAGACATGAAGTAAAGCTCAAACGACCCAATTCGAAAGCCCTATATAATAGTTCTTAACTTCTTATCTTATAAAGCAGGTGATAGAGTCAAGGGAAGACAGCAAAGCTCACACAACCCACGGTAATAAGCCTATCTAATAGATATTATCTGTAACAATTTAAAAGCATGGTACGTGATATAGCCGTAAGGAATATAGTAAAGCTCAAACAACCAACGGTGATAGACCTATAAAATAGTTCTTATCTGAAAGAAATGCACGAGGGAATGCAGTGAAGCTCACACATCTCCCGGTGAAAGTCCTATTTTATATTTCTTATCTGAAACAAAAGCACGATGATAATCTCAGCTCAAACATCCCATGTGATAGGCCTATGTAATAATTCTTATCTGAAACAGAAGCGGCTCACACAACCCACGGTGACAGGCCTTTTAGAAGGTTCTTATCTCATGTTAGCCCGAGGCGGTAGCCTTTGATAAAGCTCAAGCAATGGACGGTGATAGGCACTTATTTATTTGACCTTTGTTTTTATTTCAAATTAACCTAAGGTGATCGATAACCTCAGGGAACACAGCCAAGGTCTCACAACCCACGATGATAGGCCTGCCTTTTTAGAGGGTACTTAATGCATGTTATCCCACGGTGATAGCCTCAGGGAACACACTCAACCCACGGAAATAGAACTTTTAGAGGGTTCTCATTTCAAGTTAACCCACGGTTATAGCCCCAGGGAACACACTTTATTTAGCTCACACAACCCACTTTGGCAGGCTTTTCAGAGCGTTCTTATTTCAAGTTTACCCAAGGTGGTTGCCTCAAGGAACACAGTAAAACTCACACAACCCACGATAATCGGCCTTTCAGAGGCTTTTTATCTTTATAGAAAAGCTCACAAAACTCACGGTGATAGTCATGTTAGAGGGTACTTATTTCATGTTAACTTAAAGTGATAGCTTCAGGGCACAAAGAAGACCTCACAGCACAACCCACGGTGATTCGCCTTTTAGAGAGAGGGTCATTATCTCATGTCAACCCACGATTTTAAAATAGCCCACTTAAAACCTCATACAACCAACGGTGATATGCCATTTTATAGGATTCTTATCAGTGATGATGATGATGATGATAATGATGATGATGATTGTAATGATGAAGATGATGATAATGACGATGGTGATTGTGATGATGATGAATTTTAATGCCACTTATTGTTGTTTCTTGTGATTATACATATCTTGCAGAAACAACCGAATCATTCACATCTTGTCCTCACCATCTCGCTGCATAAATTCGCGAAACGTATATGACACAAAAGTCCTGTCTGCAAAATTCCTGTAATTGTGCCTTTCCACTCATCTGCTGTGATTAACATATCTCGTAGAAACAGACGAATCATTCACATATTGATATCAAATAACATTTGAATTACTTAAACTTCGCGAAACACAAATGGCACAAATTTGTCGTTGCCAAAATTGCTGCACCTGTAATAGTACCATTCACTGTTCTTTCTTGTGTTTTGTTCTTGACAGAAATATCAGGTTCAGAGCTCTAACGGAAGGATATTAATAAGAAAATTCCCGCGTAAAATGGTCTGTTTTTGGACCGGTCATTAGTTCTTCAAGTATTAAAAGGAAATAAATGTATGTAAAAGAAACCTAATATTCTAGTGCGAACCGTTAATAGACCATTTATTTGATTCAGTTTCAGATTCGAATTTGTAAACGTTTGGAGGGTCCTCCTTACATAATATGAGGACCAAAACCCTAGCCCAAAAATATGTCCAAGAGATTTTCGCATGGCATGGTCGTTTTCTGGACCGACGGTTTCATCTTTCTGTATATATAGTGTTTGAATTAAAAAAAAAATCATTTTCTCGAGCCAAAAGTTATAACACCAGTTGTGTGATTCTTTTGCAGACTCGATTTTGTATAAATTTAGAGTGTCTTTTTTTTTACATAAAATAAAGCCCAAATACCTCACCCAAGAAATATATCAAGGAGATTTCTGTATGGCATGGTCGTTTTCAGGACCTACGATTTCTTCTTTCTGTATATAAAGTGTATAAATAAAAAAAACTACGATTTTCTCGCGCAAATCGTTTAAACATCAGTTGTCTGATGCCGTTGCAGATTCGATTTTGTACAAGCTTGGAGTGTCTTACTTACATAATGTGAGGCACAAATCCCTAACCCAAGAAATATGTCAAGGAGATTCCCGCGTGTCATGGTCGTTTTCTTGACCCACGAGTCTTCCCTCTGCATAAAAGATGTGTAAATTTTCAAACAACTATTTTGGATTGATCAAGTAGATTGTGATGGTCTAGAGGATATTCTTCACAGTAATATAAGGTTTATGACAGCAAGAGATTCCAATAAAATAGAGTAAAGCAGAATCGTCGCTTTTTCGACCGTCGATGAGTCTAAAAAAAATTTCGTTAAAAAAACATTATTCTAAAATCTATCGTTAAAAAACCATTTGTCTGATGCCGTCGAATTTGCAACGACATCATGCTAATAGTGTTTGAACGGTTGACTTTAGGATATGTGTTTTTTTTACGAAAATTCATGCACTTTATATAGAGAAAGAACAAAACGCCAGTCCAAAAAATGACCATGCCATGCGGAAATCTCACGGATATATGTTTTGAATAGGGCTTTGGTGCTCATTTTGTACAATGAGGACACTCTAAAAATGTACAAAATAGAATTTGCAACAGAATCACACTAATTGTGTTTGAACGGTTGGCTTATGGATATGATGCTTTTTTACGAAAATTCATGCACTTTATATAGAAAAAGAACAAAACTCTGGTTCAAAAAATGACCATGCCATGAAATCTCACGGACATATTGTTGGGATAAGGGCTTTGGTGATCATTTTGTGCAAAGAGGACCCTCCAAAGTTTTACATAAACGAATCCTCATCGGAATCAAATCAGACAAATGGTGTTTTAACGGGTGGCTTAGAATATGGTGTACCATTGTATTTCATGAAAATATGCACCTATATTGAGAAACAGCAAAACGTCGGTCCAAATATGACCATGCCGTGCGGAAATTTCCCGGGAATATTGTTTGGGTTAGGACTTTGTGCTTATTTGTGCAAAGAAGACCCTCCAAAGTTGTACAAAAACGAATTTGCAACGGAATCAAACAAATGTTGTCTTAACGGTTCGCTCTAGAATATAGTTGTTTTATGCATTTTATATAGGGAAAGAATAAATCGCCGGTCCCAAAATTGAACATGCACGCGTAAATCTCCCTGGACATATCGCTTGGGTAACGGCTTTGTTCCCATTTTGTGCATTATACACCCCCAAAGTTGTACAAAAACGAATCTGCAACGGATTCAGACACATGGTGCTTAAGCGGTAGACGGTAGAAATTTGTGCTTTTTTTTAGTACGTAGCGTACATTTTACAATGGCAAGCTATGCAGTCTTACCTAACTGACTTTCATTTTTATCAAATTGTTATCTATCAAAATATTGTAGGTAAAATGTTGACTCCATGATTTGACTTTGCAAATTTTTGATTTGATTATATAGAAAAACAGCCAATATCCGGTCCAAAAACGAGCAAGCCATGCGGAGACCTCCCGGGCATATTGCTTGGCTTAGGCCTTCGGTCTTCATTTTGTGCAAAGAAGAGTTTCCCTAGTTGTATAAAATCGAATTTCAAACGTTAGACAAATGAATTGTTTAAACGGTTGGATGTAGAATATGGTGTTTTTTACGAAAATTTACTCAATTTATATAGACAAAGAACAAAACTCTGGTTCAAAAATGACCATTCCATGCGGAAATCTCACAGACGAGGTTGTTGGGTTACAGCTTTTTTGGTTTTCAATTTGTGCAAAGGTGACTCTCCAAAATTGTACAAAAACGAATCTGGAACGGAATCAGATTAATGGTGTCTAATTGTTGTCTTTTGAATATTGTGTTTTATGGATTTTATATACAACGAAACGACGGTCCAAAAAATGGCCATGCCCTGCGGAAACCTCCCGGACATATAGTTCTGATTAGGCTTTGATCTCCATTATGTGCAAAGAAGACGTTCCATATTTGTACAAAAACGAATTTTAAATGGAATCAGACAAATGGTGTTTAAACGATTGGCTATAGAATATGTGTTTTTTACGAAAATTTAATATGCACTTGACATAGTGAAGAAAACAGGTCGGCGGTCCAAAAAAAAGGACATGCCACGCGG